CTTCTGCGTACTTGGATGACAAAAATCCGTGGTAGTAACCCGTTTAGCTCATGGAGGTAGTCTCGATCTCTGATGTTTCAAATAAAAAAAAAATATTGTAAATGTTATATACAAAGAGCAACCCCTAGAGTTTCTTGCTCATTCTTCTCAGGGGAATCTGCCTTACGAATGAGCGGTAGAGTTTAATATTGTGACGATTTCAAGTGTAATAATGCTGACCTATGAAATAAAGATTATTTTGAATTTTAATTTGAATTTGAGCGCTCGCGTCGATCAACAATTTTGCAGCCTTGCATAACAAATAGCAATTGTATGTGGTGAATAAACTCATTGCAATAGTAAACTCACCCGAATCTCTGAAATTGGTAATCAAAAGTGATCTCTTCCCCGGCCGCGATGTCGCGTTTGCTGAAGAACCCGATCCGCAGCTCCCCGTTGACGGTCCACTTCTGCGTCTCCGAGTTGGGATCACATGAGTGATTGATGAATCGTGAAATGTTCCCCTTGAGAGTTGCGTCGATCACTGTGTCGCCTTTCAAAGACATGAAGTAGTGGTGAAGGTTGTTTTCGTCAGAGTACGCCTGGGCGCGCTTATAAAATTGGTCATAGTCAAGGACTTCTCCTACGTATTCCATTAGGTATTCGCCCCTGTAAAGTTATTTATGTTGTTATTTAAGATTACTTTTAGAATTAATACTGGAAAGTTAAATCAGCAGAACATAAATCAGCCATTTAATGAATAAGGAAGAAAAGTATCACAGGACTCTTTATTCCAAACGACATAAAACTATACCACAAATCTGTTTGTGGTTCAAGAACTGATCTCAGATGGATACAAAATAAAAAAATAATAATAATACACCACACCAATCTCTACCGAACAAATGTATAAAAATTGCAGAAAATTAAGTACCTATTACATTTGTAAAAGTCTAGTAACACAATTCATCACAACATGTTGATGTCTCATTTACACTCGCCCCCGGTCCCACACTGCGAATGTGACATATGCTATAATAGAATTTCTTTTATGTATATGTAAAATATGTAATAATACACTCATAGCAGACGGCTGAGACAGGATAACTTAGATGCTGGTCACTGCTAATGCGATCCTCAGCAGTTGAATGATTGATAAAGAGTAAAGAAATTCACATAGCGACAACAGCCTTACAAATTATTTCAAACAAGTAACTAAACTAAAAAAAACTAAAAACTTGAAGCCTCTACTAAATTACGCGTATGTTAGTAAGCTGCTTATTTTACATCTTCAAATCTCGAACCAGATATCTTTATACATTGTAATGTGGAAATGTTCACAGTCTAAGCACTGCAGTGTTGAAATACTCTATCCTATCAAACAATAAACTAGTAACACCATTGTATCTATACCATTGGTAACTACTATATATTAGCCCTGTGATATCAATAGTATTGCACTATCAAAAGCTCTATGGATAATCTAGTTGTCAAGGACAACTATTAATAATTAGAATATCAACCATTTTTCACTATATCCACAGTGCACGTGTCAATATAAACTGATTGTATTTGAGACAAAACTAGAAACCCATAATAATTGAATTCGCACGTATAGCTTAGATAAAGATAAATAAGATTTTCAAATTATTCAGTAACTTACATTGGTATGTCTACACTAGCCTCCACTCCACAACCCTTTTTGTCAGCGTAAAAAACCTTTAATGGCGCATTCTCTTTCTTTTGGAAACGTCGATTTGTACACCGGTCACCAACTGGACACCTCGAGTTACTGTAAATAATTTGATTATCACACTTATTATATTGAAAAAATAGATCCCTCAGGAACATGCTAAAATTCATAAAATATTACCATTCAATCATAAGCAGCCTATTCAAACAGTCTTCTCCACAAGCCATCTCTCCTCTCTCAAGTTCTTCTTTGGTCAGAAAACAGTCACAGATCATTTTCTTGGTCTCTTTATTCAGCATTCTCTCACATAAATACTCATTCTCATCTAAATGTTGATACTGCCTCATTCTCTCTTCAATTATTCTATCATAGGATTCTTTACTTAATGGCGTCGTTGGTGGCTGCTCGTCCTCGGGCGGTGATTGGCATTCACTAATAGGTTGCAACCGCTGAGGCAAGCTCGGACTAGCCAATGGGGAGTTAGCTGGTGAATTAGTTCCCATCTCCAACTCACTGGAACGCCGCCATCGGGACTTTACCTTCACAGGCATATCAGATGGTACAGGGAAAGATGGAGAATTTGGTGTACTGTTTAACAACACATCCACAGACTTCTCTTGACTATCTGAACCCAACTCCTCAAGCTTGAGTTTAGTTTGTGTTATCAAAGCCTTTTTAAGTGGTGTTTTCACTAAACCATAGCCTTTAGTCTTTTGTTTCATATTACTGATGGTTTTGATGCGGCTTGACCTTCTCACACCAGTAGGTGATGACTCTGCAGAGTCATTGGAGTTGTTTTGATTTGGCTCTGTAGCTCTTGAAGAGTTACTGTCATCGGATAAAGTAGAACTTGGTGTTAAACTAGGATCAGGCCTTGTAAGGACATCCAGACTATCTTTTGAAAATTGTATGTCAGATGTGCCACAGGGCGGTGTCCTATTGATAACATCTGAGCATTCCATAGGTGAACTAACATTTAAATCAACTGGTGTAGCAATGTTCAGCTCCTCAAAGTGTTTTTGGAATTCCACATCTTGCTTTTTATCATCTTCAGACTCAATCTTAGAAAGTTCATTAGGACTTGACACAGACAGTGCGCTAGGACTGTCCATTTTAATGTTGTAGTAAAGCTCTGGGTTGTCATCTTCTACAATCTGCACTATGGTGATAACATCATCATCCTCATCTCCATATTCAAACTGTTGCTGCTCCAATGGAATGTCTTGATTCACTGGTATCTCTGGTTCAACCACTGGTTCAGACTCAGGTACAAGTTCAAACTTTGCCTCCTCATGTTCTTGCAGTTCTTCATGGTAGGCATTATTTTCCACAGGGGTATTTTCCCTTGGAGGTGGTAATGGCACAGAGTCAAGTTCGATTATGTCATTATTGTATTCAATATTATCGCTTGGTAGAGGTATATCTTGAGGCAATGGAACTTCGCTGAGCATAGGCACTGGTGACATATCTCTAGAATCACTCTGGTTTGCATTACTTGTACTATGTATGGGGCTCATGCAAGCCCCACTATTTGTATCTGATTGAGTATCTAAAGCAGCATTAGAGTCTGACTCTGAGCTGGCACAAGGGTCAACCACCCTAATTTCTACACTACTATTGGTTTCACTGTCACTGCCAATATCATATTTTCTAGTAAATGTATCATCATTGTTGAACAAACAGCGGTACTTGCCAAATTTCTTGTGTAAGACAACTGTGGGTATGAGATTAGGGTTGATCAATTGTAATCCAGATGTCTGGGGCTCAGACGGTGGGTGTTCCTCAACTGGTGCTGTACAGGCTTCACCTAAGTTAGAAGGCTGCTCAGTCTGCGTCTTAGAGGTATTGTCAGGCGGAGTGGGATCGACGGAAGCGGATGAAGAGCTGTCGGCCACGGTTTCGGCAACAACCGCGGTTTCGGCAGTCGCCGCGTTCTTCCCGCGCCTAGGAGTTCGCCGCGTTGCAGTCTTCGATGCTGGTTTCTTTTTCTTCGCCATTGTGTTGTGTCACACCAGTGACAAACAACCTACAAACAAAATGCCGCCATTTACTATGTACAGAAACAGTTTACAATTACCCCTTTCAGTCATTTGTTTCTCAGAGCCTGTCAACGCCACATGGATGTGGGAACGTCGCGTTGTTGACCAAGGCAATATTTATATTCTCTAACAAACAATGAATACTTCAGCATTACTATTTGATTGCAACATGGTTCTAATGTAGAGATAAAATGCATAACCACCGGGTTGTATCACAAGCCAAAACCACTTTTGATATAAACCATGACCATACCATTACTTTTCATCTAATGCGATGTCCCATATACCTAGGAAAATGCTAGACACAAGTGCTGAAACTTGCAACATTCACAAATAAACGAATTAACTACCCCGTAATATCATTTTTCTGAACATTTAACTTTTTTCTAGAGAGCGGCCATCACTCACTCACTAGAGTTTAAACACACGCGAAATAAACAACCGATACATGTCAACTAACGAAGAAAATACTCCTCCCATAGACTTAAAATATACCAGCACACAGCAACAATGGTACACAAATCAATGACTTCTTAGACCAAGAGCATTTTTAATCTTGTATCAAATTTGTCGTGCTTTACTGCGCTTTTTGCAATATAAATAGAGTTCAAAATAAAATTACTTATAAAATATATAGGATGTAATCGTTAAGTGTCCCATAAATATAACAGATATCAAAAAGCTTAAAACTGATATTGAAAGTATGTTACGTAATGAATAAATCGACATCAATAATTTTAAAAATAAAACTAGAAATATCCAAAATTTTAACATTAAATACTCCCATACATTTAATGTGACATTCGTAAAGAGGCTTTAATTTTCCTAAGTAACAAAAGTAAGAGGTAACAATAAGTTAGTAAATTGGATTCCACCCCTATGTTGTGGATATTCCAAGGATTCGCACAAAGCATTTCGCTTCTACATTTATATGGCGATCGGCTATGGAGTGAAATTCCCTGCCTGCAGACTTATTTCCTGAAAGTTATAACATGGACCTTTTCGAGGCGAGAGTAAATAGGTATTATTTAGGTGTACATGGTACATCGTCGACCTCAACGTCACTTTCCACCAGGTGAGATGGAGATCAAATGCGCACTGGCTAAGCTCAAGCCGAACAGATCTGCTGGTCCTGACGGCATCCCGGCTTATATATTTAGAGACTGTAGGTTTGATCTGGCGAAGCCACTAGCGCACATGTATAACCTGTGTTTAGAGTCAACAACTTTTCCGGAAATTTGGAAAATGACTCGTGTGATTCCGGTTCCTAAAGGTGAGGGTGTAGGTGGTGGGGTGGACGGATATCGGCCGGTGGCAGTTTTGTTGACCCCTGCCAAGGTGTTCGAAGCAGCCTTGCAGAACAGTATATATATATATATATATATATATATATATATATATATATATATATATATATACAATACAGTATATATTTCAGCGGTTTTGTTCACGAATACCGGACGTGCAACATGGTCTTCGACCGGGTAGGAGTACCACTAGTAACCTCATGAGCTACACGACTCAACTGGTACCTGCAATAGACAGTGGTGGTCAATTGGATGCCGCTTATTTCGACTTCCGAAAAGTGTTCGATGTCGTGAATAATGATGTCTTGCTTAGGAAACTCCAGCTAGTTTCCTAAGCAAAGCATTGGTTTTACACCCTATTTCTTACAATTTTTTGCTAGTTACGTGAGCGACAGACAGCAGTACGATGAGTATGGCGAACACCGGTCCGAACCATACTTTGTCAAGCCTGGGGTAAGTCAGGGGAACAACCTTGGACCTCTCCAGTTTGTGATAATGATTAACGACCTACTGGGAGTTATCCAAAAGACACAATGCCTCCTATTTGCAGATGACCTAAAACTATTTCTGCCGATCAATAGTACCGCGGACTGTATATTATTACAAAATGATATCAACAACGTAGTGTTATGGAGTGAGCAAAATAGTCTACAGTTCAATACTTCTTAATGTGTTACGATTTCTTATACTTGAAAGCGTAATCTTATTTGCTACGATTATGAAATAAACGCCGCAGTACTGCAGAGGGTCATCGAAGTAGGACTTACGAGTTCGTTTTGCGGCAGAGTTGAAATTCCAGAATCATACAATTAGTATTTGTAACAAAGCATATAGAAATTTGGGATTCATTCTACGTACAGTTAATGGTTTTACAAATATAACAACAATAGAGGCATTGTACAATACCTTGTTAGAAGCCGTCTAGAATGTAATGCACTTATTTGGGCTCCTAGTGAAATTAAATATAATGTAATGTTGGAACGCATACAAAACAAATTTACAAGATATTTATATTTCAGGCTATACGGGATATTTCCTTTCTATCCTTTGATGTATCCTAACCTATCTTTTCTGGTATGGTGGGGTACAACGAAGTGGGGGTACGAAGGGAATTAGCATTGGTTTTGTATGTGTTTCAATTATTATGAGGCAAGACATACAACACAGGTTTTGAGTAGTGTGGGTCTTTGCGTTCCTGATGGGTATATGGGGTGCCGGCGCCGGCCTCAGTTGTTGGCGATTCCTCGTCGCAGAACCAACCTGCTGGACAGAGCTCCACTGACACGAGCAATGAGGACTTTGAACGTTATTGATGGGAAAATTGACCTACTTGTCTGTTCTCTCTGTGAGTTCAATAAAATAGCTTTATTTGTAATATCTTATGGAATATATTATCAGTTGGTAATTTAATTATGGTATAATATAATTTTAGTAGATACAATAGAATTTTTGGATATAATATTAATGTTTATTAATAATGTTGAACAAGTGATAATTTTGGCAACACTATCGTATTAGGTTAGTCCTTTAATTATAGTTGCTAGCCTAAGTATAAGTAAGTATGTAAAATAATTTTTTTTTAAACATAATAATAAATTATAATTGCCCATATAAATACCGAAATTATTGCGAATACATTGCCAAACATCACAATTTACATTTCCAGAGCACAGCTCTAGTTCATCAGAATTGCCACATTAACGTAAATATAATCCACGTTCAATTATTTCAATACTAAGCATTTCTTCATTTTCCTTTTCCTCATTAAGAAAATATTACATTTTTTTATTTTAAACAACAATATTGTGAGTCGTTTGTGAGTATTGTTCATGTGTGTAAATTAAGACAGAAAAGAAATTCCGCTAGGGTTTTTCTAAATATTTCTTAAGGACACTGAAATTGAACGCATAGTTTGACGTAGCGTTTAAAATAAAAAATATGTCAAAAAGAAGGCTAGATAACATCATCAAAGCTCAAATGATAACGTTGACTGCTAGTAGTTTGTGTTGACTGCCGAGTTGTATTCGGGATCTAAACGATAAAATAATCTTAAAATTTAAATAAAATCTCAGGATACTATGGCAGAATCTACAGAGGTGATTTCCAATATATATTTCATAATGTCAATTTAATGTATCCTAATCTTAACTCACTCTGAAGAATTTGTGTAGGACACGTCATATTTTTCTGAAACGTTTTTCTAATTTCGTCAATTAATTTTCTCATGTTTTTCATACATACCGATGAAAACATTCTCTTTATACAACATTTTATTTATAATATGTTTCTTTTTAGCCAGTAAAGATAAATAAATGGGACGGCGCCGCTGCCAAAAATGCCATTGATGATGCCATCAGAGAGGTAATTTCTGCCTAGTATTTCTATAGTAACATTTCATAACACAATACGACTGCTGCTTAAATCTGTACTTATTTGTTGCAAGGTACTGACTAGAGATCTAAAATGTAAGGAGAGTTTTGCGCTCATAGATGGGAGGTTATTCCTATGTGCATTAGCGGTTGGCGTCGCTTTATACGCCCTTCTTTGGGACTATCTTTATCCATTCCCTCAGTCAAGGTAAGCATTTTCTACAAATAAGAATTATATTATTTTTATTATTATTATATTAAGAAAATTTTACGATACATAACTGAAACGAAAAAATAATTTTTTTTACGAAAATATTTCTTTTTTGCGCTATTAATAAAATGTTATAGCAACAACCAAACGCCGTGCTTGCCTAACCTACAAAACCTGTTTCTTATCATTTATTTTCGAATATTTCAATAATTTTTATTATTAAAACTACGAGTTTCCTAAAGCTTATATTTTAGAATTAGACTGTTAACTATGTAGTCTATTCACCATATTAATTTCAACTCTTAACTCGTGTGATGGTAATGTACAGTTGAGCTGACTTACCGCCTCTGGTAGAGGGTCATGGGTTCCAATCTGGGCTTGCACCTTTAAGTTTTTGGTATTTATGTGTTAAATTTAATTTGAAAATTATATATTATATTATATATATAATATATATGGGCTTCTCGTTGACGGAAACCATGGTGAGGAAACCTGCACACATCTGCAAAGCAATTTAATGATGTGTATGAAGTTTCCAATCTGCATTGGTCATGTGTGGGAACCGCAGCCCAAGCCCTCTCATTGTGAGAGGAGGCCTGTGCCAGCAGTGGGACTTAATAAAGACTAACTATTATATTAATAATAAATTGTTGATGTAAATACCTTCTCATACCACTATAAATAAACAATAAAACATTATCAATGCGTTCATAATACTAAATCCAAATTTGATATTTTTAGTTTAACCGTGTAACATGGAAGTTTATTCATCGCCAAACATTCCTGTGCAACTTGAATAACATAATTAAATGTCTTTCATATGATTGAGGTTTTATAGAGCGATTCAATGGATACTTTAATACTTTAAAACTTGGTTAATTAATAAAAAATACTTTTTTAGACTGGTGCTGATAATCTGCGTGTCTTCATACTTCGTGCTGATGGGAATCCTGACACTTTACACAACATTCAAAGAGAAGGGAATCTTTGTAGTTGCTAAAGAAAAAGTTGGGAACAACACTAGAGTTTGGGAAGCCAGCTCTTATGTTAAAAAGTAAGTTGCTATTTTACAATTAAATAAGCACTTTATATTCTTGAAAAATCTACACAACAAACTAAATTTGGTGAAAAAGTTGCTTACAGTAATAAAATTTAATGTAAATGATTTATAGGAAATGAAACTATTTTTCCGGATTTAAATCGCGTATATTTTTTTTTCAAACAAACCGACATTTCGGGCCCTTTACAGGTCCCGTGGTCACGGTTGACTGATGGTCGATTGATGTTTAATTCATGTCAAAAATAATTCTTCACTATATGTGTATTCTATTATAACTTTACTATCATAGTATTAGTAAAAGGGTTTAGTGAATGGAGAAAACTGGCAACAAAGACAAAAAAAAAATTCATTAGGGTAGTCTATAATTAATATAGTTTATCCCAATTCATTTTGCAGTAAATGAAGAATGAAATAAGTAACACTTTCACATATATTTGAAGATTTTCACTTGATTTTTCATCACTTTTTAACCGACTTCAAAAAAGGAGGAGGTTCTCAATTCGACTATGTTCTTTTTTTTTCTTTTTTTTTTGTATGTATGTTACGCGGCATTTGTGAACCGAGTTTCATGATTCTTTTTTTTGTTGGAAAGGGGGTACTTCCATAATGGTCCCATTTCATTTTGAAGAAAATCATCCACCTCGAAGGGTGGCTGTTCACGCATGAAGATTCATTTTGATAAATAGCGCCTAACTTTAATTTAGGAGCAATTACTTTAATGCTTGATTTTGCTATTTCTTCAATTCAAGGCGTTTTTCTCTCAATATACTTTGAGTAGTTTCATAGTGAGAACCTATTGTTATTGTCTCCAGTGTCAAGTCCTGTATAGTGGCGAACTAGGGGATATTTCAATAAAACTTAGCAAATAGACGTAATTTCACGTACTTTTGAGGTCGGTTTTTTTTAGTACTCTGTACTGAGATTATTGCTAACAATATTCATTTGAATAACAACTGAAAATCGTATTTGAAAAATGTTTATTCAAAGTTATTTTTCAAATGTAGAAATATGGATTGTCGATTGCATAGTGCTGTACGAAAAAAATCATTTGGTTCTTTCAATTATAGTTTTTGTGATCAATTAGTAATCAAATATTTCAATCACAATCAATAAAGTATCTTAAGTGTAAGGATTTGAAGGAGGATTTAAAATGAAGATTTTGGAAGTTTTAAATTTACTTTTATAGGTCATGTAAGAAAAACCACTAGTAGTATAAGTACTTCGTTCACTAATATTCTGTTCCTAATCAGCAATGAAATTGCATAAAGACCTGTTATTCCAATGATTCAATTAAACAAATCAATTCATTCAATTAATTAATTGATTTGTAGTTGACCTAATGTGCCCTATTGGCCTAATATTCAAAAAAGTTTTGAACTGGACCCTTGGCTTATAATTTAAAAGATTTCAAAAAGTTATACAAAACTATGATATTTGGGTAATGTGTGAGTTGAGTAAGACATATCAATACTTTGGGGAAGAAAAAGAGAAAAAGCCATAATACAAAGTTTACAACACGAGTTAAAAGCCAACAATTTATAAATATTTTGGTAGAAGTTTTGATATTATGTATGTATGCAAAATTTTACTGTCTTTAAAAAACAAGTAAAGTTTTCAAAGTATGTTTATTTATGTAACATATCCATATGTAAAGAAAAAATGAACAACGGTGAATTCAATTAATTGGTTCTATTGTATAACCAATTAACAAGAATTGGTAAAGAATAAACTATTTGTAGTATCAAATAAGATAAATTATGGTTTCGGAGATAAGATGACTTATATAATTTTTAGTTTTACAAAGTGCAGCAGAATAGTGAAACACAAATTTAATAAGTACGTAATGGACATCTAGCAAGTTGTCAGTTCTGAAAAAGGATCCGAAAATAAATCGGTAAAAGTATTACAGAAGAAACTATTTACTGGCAACAGGCTTGAAATATTGTGGAGGAAAATGCTACGCAATATCAACTATCCAAACACTGAATCATAATCAAATTAACCTGTGTGGAGTTCAGTGTGTATCAAAATCTAAAATGCAAAATTACTGCATAATCAAGGTTCCCATTTGGAAAAGCGAAGAAAACTTTGATATTGAGATACGTATTTATTTACCTATTAATTATTTCGCACGTATTCATGAAAATGAAACATTTGTCATTTTTATTCCATGTCGATAAACCTCGATTATCTCTCAAATTGCTGTCTCCACGCACTACGTACATTGTACAGGCGAACACAACATGTCATTTAGAATAGCGAACCTTCGCAGCTTTGATTGTGGGAACTTCTGACAAAAATTATAAAGTCTATTTTATGCATTCAGGAGTCCCCGAGGAAAAAAAATCTCTTGATTGAAAGCAGTAATTTACAAGTTCTCATTCATTGTATGTAATGTGACAGCCAAAAGCATTCACACGCGTTCATTTAATTTTTTGGACAAACTTCATAAATATATCATTTATTGGGCACCACATTTAATCCACCAGAAACAATAATTTTCGGTGTGTAAAAGCTGTTTAAAGTTCATCGTAAAATGGGAAAACGACGACATAAGCTTCGTAGGTTAAGTAGCTATGCATGATAACATATCATAAATTACAAATGACTTAAAAAATTATGGCATGCTGACGACTGGATTGTTATTGACAACAAAATCCATTCCAAATCGATTGGTGGATGTTGTTACATCGCATGATGAACATGTGAATGATGTCTATGACACCGCTGTGGTATCCAGAGAACACTTTTTACATGTTCAATATGCCGATCAATTTAGGGGAAATTTTTACGAAAAAATATATTGGTAATATAACAAATACGTTTGCCATGAGTATTTTGAAAAATGCTATTAACATAAATGTTTTTACATTTCCATTGAAATAGAATTATTCAGGTAATTAATTCCTGTAAGGCAATTCTTGTTCTATAAAAAGTTAGTTTTGAGATCTTTCATTCACATATTTGCCACGTTATTTAGTACCTACAGTTAATATCGTAATAAAACTGTGTATATTCTTTACCATATGTATAAACATCTTTTGAATTGGGTTCGTGGCCAATTGAACAATTTAAAGAATCAAATATTTTATGTCTGCCAAGTTAATTTATATTTGAAAATATAACCGTATGTTCGTAGAAATGTAGCATTATTTCCGAAATACAGTGATAGACATAACCTTAATCTTAGAATGCTCTGATTTGATAAAGTAGCTCGTCGTTTGTAGGGCACTGTATACGATTTTATAATAAAATTCCAAAAAATTTACAAAATTTATCAGAAAAAAATTTACAAAATTTATCAGAAAAAAATTTTTAAAGTTCATGTTAAAAATGTACTAATTAGAAAAGCTGATTATAAAATCAATTATTACATATATGATACGAACGCATGGTGTACTTTCAGCATTGAATGTTTGTAATGATACAAAAAAAAATCATTCTTCTCAGTTGAAATTGACCGGCTAAGGACTAGTGCTTTCTTGTTTAATGTGACAATTTCAAGTGTAATTTGATTATCTACGAAATAAAGATATTTGATTTGATGAATAAACTAAATGAAATAGTCGTTCACGTTCAGGTTATATTATTGGTGGAAAGTTTATCGTCTAAAATCACAAAGAAGAGAGACAATGCCGGCCAAAAGGCACGTGGTAGAGACCTCGGCGACGGACCGACCTGTCGTGAAAGCTCACAAACACTCTGAAGTTATATGAAGTACCTGAAGGGTATTTAATCAGGTGTGGATTCTAAGGACGTACATGAGTTGATACAGTAACAATATTGAAATAAAATGATTCCCGTCTTTGTTCACAGACATGACGATAAGTACAACCTAGTGCTCGTAATGCGCGATTCGACCGGCAAGCTGCGCGAGGCGTCCATCAACAAGTCCTTCGCCAACTACATCGATACCAATGGCACCGTCGTCCAGAACCTGGTCATCAGCGAGGTCACAAAACTTTACAACTCTCTCTCGTCTGAAAAGAAAGAGAAGTGATTGTCTCAATTTTGTAACTGTAATTATAAGGTCTGATTTATATTACAATAAATGGTGTCGTATGGTGGTTTTTTGAGTTTGTTAATCTCGCTCTTTAAACTTTTGAAGCAAAAATAAGGATGAAATTGTAAGTGCTTTCCTATACACGTAAATATGCATGCTTAGAAATAATGGTAGTTTGTGCTGATCTGATACCATCCAAAGCATATCAAGCTTTGGAGCGTCCTTATCGCAAGCGGTATACAGTTGAATTTAAATCTTAACTACAGCCATCGATAACACAACTTAAATAATATGTAGTAGTCTATTATACAAATATTATCGGTAGATGCCTTTCTTTCTTTAGTAAGTTTTCTTTTTGAGAACGCTTTCTTTCTTTACCTATCGTCTCGTACTGCCCTCTACCATATATCTAGAGAACTATACTTTGTCGAATTTCCGTTGACAAGAGCAGTAAGCATATACGGAAGCGCAAGAACTTTATGCGTACTTTCACAGTTGTGTACCAGATGGCGCTATTATGAAATGTAACAGGAATTCTTATGGCGATCATGGCAATTCTCCGCTCCACTCTCCACGTTTGATTTAATTTTTAGCATTGTAATGTATATTTTTTGTAAATCACAACTATGATAGTTTCAAAAACCTGATTATGTTAGGAAAGGAATGGTGTTTCTGCAATAAAAACCGTATTACAACAACACGGCATAATATGGAGTTATAGCAGTTAATATAAAATGGCAGCTGTCAAACGAGAATGAGTCACGACCCTCGCTAAGATCGAAGGAATACCTCGGGAGCCGCGGAGTGCCAGTGTGGCAGTAGGTCGGCCGGGAACGCCGCGACCGCACGCCCGGCCGCTCTCGCATGTCGCTCTGACCCACGATTAGAACATGTACCGCTTCAGTTAAAAGTAACACCTAGCGTTAGTGTACAATTGCATAATAGAAATGTGAACAAAGCCATTACACAATACTGAGTGTTAAAGCACAATTCTCTTGCAGGCAGCAATCACTCTGGCATTCTAAATTTGGTTTTTGTGTACATAAAATAGATGATTCAAACTTAATTTTCCTTATTTTACGATAAAGGTAAGGTTCTTTATATTACGTGCATCGGTGTATAATAGACACATTGATAATACATACGTTGGTTATTTTTCGATATTCTCCTTAAAAAGCTTTCATTGTTATTTCCCTTGTCTTGTATATTTTTAGTACCTTTCAAACTAAAGTATTAATTCTTGATTAATTATGTAAAAATGCTCTGTAAGTACTGTGCTATCCTAGTAAAGATGTAAATGTAAAAATGCTTTAAGGTAATGGTACCCTGAGTTTGAAGCGTAGGAAAACGTTATATTTGGTAATGTGTAGAGCGTTAAGTAATAAACGCGTCAAAGTAAACATATGTCTTTATATATATTCATGGAACTTTATGTAAAGCTGCGTTAAAACAAATCCATTCTTGTACTTCGTATTTGACACGCGCATGCAGGAAGCCTACGCCGAAATGACATCATCGCGGGTTATCCATGCCGTCGTCGGCTCAAGGACTAAAGAACGGCTAATAACTAATTTACATGAGACAAATCATGTTTCGTCAAATGATACTGTGTAGTCCTCACACCAAATAGTCTAACTAAAAAGCGTTTCAAAATTGCATTAATTGCACTTCAACGCGTGATGTTAGTCTACTCTACGTGTGTCGCGGTCACCTGACTTGGCGCCCTCGACTCGGTACCTGTAAACCGTACGACTCCATTATTTCCCAAGCTCAGGCTATTTTGGTTCGGCAGAATTGGCATACGTTATGTACACTGTACTGTGTGATAACTTCATTTATTACATTAATCCGCATGTGAATGGCGCGAGTATTGTTTGCATGTAACTCGCATCCTGACTCTACCTTATACATAAAATTAGTTACTTTTTACTGTAATTGAAATATCTCTTGACCTCTAGCCAAGCCGTAAGGTCAAAATGACATCGTCTGAGGTGCAACAAATGCCAAGATAATTCACCCTAACTATAAAATCTTGGGATCTTTTGTGGCACTATAAAAATTGCCGGCCGGCAATTTCCGGCTGCGTTTCTACCATTTAATACGGTGCAAGTTATAGACTAAAATATGATGTGTGATGCCTGACTATAACACTACGTTGCAGTTTCGTGACCGGGTCTGAGTTATAGTGGGTACAGTTTAGTTTCTTGTTATTCATGACCAATCTCGCAACTCCGTAGAAATATCGTCTCTATCCACCTACCACGCTGCTAGGGGATGTCTGTATAAAATTGGAACTGTATTCGCTAAACGCCGAACCCTCTGCCAAAATTTTTCGCAGTTCGCATTTACGTCTGTGACATAACTGTGCCGTTACTTTGTTACTAACAAAGCGAGTTCCCCTTGCGAAACGTACCTTGGTTTTAAAAGGGCGTAAAGATGGTGTATAAATTGTTGTATAAATGCACATACGTAATTAGACGAGAGATAATACCTAGACCTTGAATTTTTATATAGTATATAAAAAAAGCCTGCAGGCATATGCAGTGATACATAATTATCATAATCAACACAATCATAACATCGTTTACGGAGTTGATAAGTGACATAGACAAGTATCTTGTCCGTGATACGTGACACTTGCTCGCATGATTGATTGACAACGGAAAATTTTATTTTTCGCCATAATTTGGAAGAATGTACGTGTAAAACGTGCAACTATGGTACTAGAGTTCTCAAAAAAATTCCCATCAAGCATTGGAATTCTCGTAACAACCACTGAACGTCACTCAGGAAATAAAATATTTTATCGTTTGTTCGGGTCTAAATCGCGTACATCTGTTTTTTGTACGAAACCAACGTTCCGTACTCTTTATACCTAGTAACGCCGTGGACTGTCAGTCAAACCAAATATAGGTACTCAATTTAGATCCGTAAAAATAGTTACATTTCCAATGTGTCACAATCATGAAATCCTAAGAATGTACATACCTATGTACGTCACTTGATTAAATTAATTACCATAATTGTAACGTTTATTTTTTATTCATTTATTTATTGTAAATATATTTACACGGTATTACAGTTAGAAACTAATGCACCGTGAAAACTTAGATAATTATAAAAAAATAATAACATTAGGATATAAAAAAAAGGAATTAATAATGAAATAAAATAAAATAAAATTAACATACAAAACACAATTATCTTATAATTACACACTCGACTCTCTAACGTTGTGACTTGTATGTTTGTTGTAGATATGGACGAGTAGATGTAGGTACCTATGCTTTGTTTTAACACACAAAAGACTTCATAAATAGCGCATCGTGACTACGATTTCATTCTTACACGGTCTTTAACGACACTTCGTTATCGATAACATTTTCACGCATTATAAATTTATTGACGACCTCGGTGGCCCAACGATTTGCACTAAGGGCACTGGATAAGGTGGTCCCGGGTTTAATTCCCGTTCAGACCAATTCGAGTAATACATTTTATAAATGAGATCTGGTTTGGGTGATCGGCCAGCACCTACCCAGTATTGAATAACGTTGCCCTAGTATCCTTAATGCTAATAAGCGAATTCTCACAGTGCAATTGTACTGCAAGAAAGAAATATTGAATTTTTACTACCTTATAGGCGTAGCAAATAACAAGCTATAAGTACTATCAGAACAAATGTTTATGTAGTTTTGTTAAAATGTAATTATTACGTTATCATGGCAGCACAGGAGTACCTACGTATGGACTTATGTCTAGTACCATGTACTTATGTTTCAGGGTGACGGACGCAGAGGCAGTGCACCTCAGATCTTTGCGATTTAAAACTCTGAGTGGCACTGCAACTGTTATGGACAGGCGTGTCGCTTACCATCAGGCGCACCGACTTGTTCGACCCATCACTTAGTGTCATAAAAAAATGTTATATTACCTAAACTCGCGTCAGCTAAAAGCCGAAGCTCGAAGTCATTTTTACAAGCATGTTCTACAAATGTACCGTATTAGGCCTGTTCTGTTTTTTGTTACGTCGCACGTAATACATGCACACAGCTTCACGTGATATGCGCGTGTTTTAATCGTGATTGATAATAATATCAATATTACGGGTGCTTTACGTGATCCTCCGTGACAGCCAGTGGGTTAACCCGTGTGCGTGTCTGACATCGTCTGCTCAGTCGTCTGTAACGCGATAAAGAGCACCAACTGCATACAAGTATCAAATGCAGATATTTATGTATGTAAAATGTATGCACAGATTTTTCAAAGTAAATAGTGGTTGGTTCACATAAATAGATATAGTTGATTTAATTGATTTGAACAACAGGTGCCTACCTGCACATAACTTGGGCTGCTTACAGATTGACTGCAAGTTTGCAGCGTGAAGTCGGTATCAACCGAATTCATGCAGTCGAGATCTCGGAGAACGACTTCACGCATTAACTGCAAACATGCAGTCAATCTGTTAGCAGCCTTAGCCGGTATGCCAGTTGATTGACAAATTTTTCGTTTCCTTAACTCCCATCAGTCCTCTTCATATATGCCAGTTTATTCGTGGTACTTACAACCTGCCATTTTCAAGGACATCCCCAATAGGATCGAGATATGTATGTATATTGGCTAGTGTCGTCAATTTACTAACATCCATCCTTTTTACATGACTAAACCATAGATACATTCCATTTTGCATCTTGGTTACTTCAACTTACCTTGAAAAGATAAATTTAAAGGTTTTAACTGTTATAAGTGCTATGCTCTTTTGCATGTAGCGCTTTGCATAAAATTCTTGTGCGCTTTCACTAATTGTTGATGTTAATATTTCGAAATATATTTTTCAGAAAATGTCGCGGAGAAGACTGCTGGCAGGCGGGTGCGCCGGCGTCGCAGGCGCTGCCCTGACGGTGTGGGCACTGGCTGCGGACGAGTCGCCAGTCGTAAGTGTCAATGAGAAACAATTTGTACAAAAATTACGTTAATTAAGGCCTTCCACAGTAATAGCATATTTAAAAAAAAAATCTGTTCAACATCTTAAAATACAAAAGAACAAGAACCACTTTTTAAAAGTAAAATTTTTACGTGAAGATATTATTTTGCTACATCCTAAATAGAGGCCAGCGCGTGCGCTTCATAAAGCGTCAGCGGATACTATCACTCTTCGTGCTAACCTTACTAATAGTTAAGTGGGAAATATAAACAAGTAGGGTTATCGCAAGTTTCGTGTGATCTGGGGGCCTACCATAACCTTTCCAAAAACAATCTTAATTCAATGTAAGCTTAAAGTAAACTTATTATAATATTACTCATATTCGTATCATGACAAATCTGTCAACCAAGTAATGTATTATTGCTAAAGTGACTGAAAGAACGAATGATTTCCCAATATTGTGTATTTCTTACTAAAAATAGGAAAGCAATATATATACGGTATATGAACTATGTAATGCTATTTTTTTCATTTTTGATGTTCCGAATCGTCTTATCGTAGTATAATGTTAAATTAAAGCATTTAATATTATTTACATTCAGAGAATTTTAACAGTCAAAAAAAGAAAAATATGTAACAATGAAATCTATTACAATTACGTTGTTTTCAATTATTTCTCCGCATTTCCATGAAGAAAAATAAACAAAACAAGCTGAGTCTTAATTGTCACGTTGTGAATTCGGAACTATAGTCTAGTGTCAACTGTCAATTTCGCTAAGGAGTATGACAGCGCCATCATATAGATCTATATGATGGTGCTGTCATAATTTTACGAAATAAACATCGCGTATTTTTATTTAACGAGAAATTATTTTCTATGTGCTATTAATTAAAAAATAAACAAAATATTGAAGAGATGTCAATAAATAAGTTCAATTTAACTTTTAATCATGACAAATCCATATGAAGACAATAAAACTGAAAATAATATTGTTTCCATTGCATCCGTGCAACTATTTTATGATTGGTAAATTTGACATAAGAGCAATATTACTTTAATGTTAAATTCGCGTCATAGTACGAACTGAGTGAATGAATAGTCACAGAGCTGCCAATAAAACATCACAGTTTTAACATTATTAAAAGCTTACTTTAAGCGTGTCATGGTACGAAAAGTCAATGTAAGGTTAAAGTAATAATGTTTTAAGAGGTTGCGGTGGGCCTCCTGAATATCGAATTTGTCTTTAATGTAAGGAGGCTGAAACCATCAATGCGTTCCTTTTATTTTTATAAGTCGACCGCAATAGACGACTGATGCTCTCTAACTCTTTTTGCAATAAAACGTAGATATGACACTAAATAAAGTTGACAGGCAGGCTGCAACTCTTGAACGTATTCTAAACACGCACAGTAAATCGCGTGATAATTTACTATAAGATATTTGAGTCGGAAATAGCAAGTACTAGGAATCCTTCGGTTTGATGACGAACGTACCGTCAAAGTACGTCACTTGTCTGGCGTGACACTAATGAAATGAGATCTTTAATTCTTAGAGGCTACTATATACTACTCATTTATATTGCTGATTAAACTATAGCAAAAGAAGAGAGCGTAACGCAGAATATGCTTGTAAGTCTTATAAATAGAATGGAGAACAGTGCGATAAGAGAGCGTTGCGCTGTTAAAGAAGGTGATTGAGATAGAAAAGGGCATGCTTTGGTCATATTCAAGACGTGGAGGGCAGCGCGGGCAGCGTAGCTGGGTGCACCGGGGGCAGACAGGTGCGGTGCTTTAAACCCGCTTAATTATGTTTTTACATGCCATATTCCAAAAGAGTGTTACTATTTAGTGATTAGATGCTTTAGATATGATGGACTCATGGAAGCGCCGTACCCTTCCAGGCATGGTACAAAGCTCCCACGGTGTCCGCGAAGACCGAGCGCAAGAAGCGGCCGCTGCCCAGCCGCGCCGAGCAGGTGGCCAGCCTGCAGGCCGGACACGTGTACGACGTGCTGATCGTGGGCGGCGGCGCCACCGGCGTCGGCTGCGCGCTCGACGCCACCACCAGAGGTGGGTGGCTCCCACTAGTGCCGCAGCTGCGACTGGTCCGGTCGCGGCGTCGTCGACATTCAATGTTGCTAGTACTAATCATTCGATTGGGCAAATCGTTCACTAAGTCGCATCCAAGCACAATCATTGGACTCCAGTCGAGTGATTCCCTCTCCGTCTACGGGTTGACAATACCGGATGCCCATGCCATTCGGTTGGGTGCACGAGTCGAATGAATATTACATCGGCACACCTCATTCCGCAAAATATCCCTCTCCCCGTCATATTTACAGTATTTACCATATGTCAGCGAGGGCTAGGTGATCACGAGCAGAAATGCTCTATGGAATCTATGGATTAGTACTACTAGTTAGTAATTAATGATCATTCAAATCATTCGAATACGAAAATTAGTAGGTCACTAATTCGACATTTTAATGACAGGATTAGCGATTACTAACGAGTCGAATATCGAAATTGTGTGCTTGTGACTTTAATTTGTAAAACTAAGTACGCTCTCGCTACCTCCCGCTATCGGTTAAGAAAAACATCGCGATGTAGGTTCACAAACTTTCTGAAACCGTCCTCAGAGAAGACACGTGTCTAGTAGTGTGTAGTGTGAAATGTACTTAAGCGCGGTTGTTGCCCGGCGAGGTCTCCGCACGGCGCTGGTGGAGGCCGACGACTTCGCCAGCGGCACGTCCAGCAGGAGCACGAAGCTGATCCACGGGGGCGTGCGCTACCTGCAGAAAGCCATCATGCAGCTCGACTACGAGCAGTACAAAATGGTCAAGGAAGCGCTGCACGAAAGAGCCAATATGCTGGAAGTCGCCCCGCATCTGACCAGGCCTCTACCTATTCTGCTACCCGTGTACAAGTAAGTGAGTTGCCTGAATAATCACTTTAAACTCGTATTCCTTTTTACAGTTCGGTCAACTATAATTTGAAATCAATACAACATTAGAAGGGCGCCTACTTTCAGTGTCCGCCTAACATGAAATATAATGTAATAATAATAATCTTTATGTTCTGCACAAACTTCACACTGTATATGTGCATACATTATTTGTTACATTAAGTGTTATAGGCAACAATCTTTGCAGAGAGTACAGTGCCTGAACTAGTTTAAACCCGTATATCTGGTCCTCGAGTCGTCACTTCCGTAAAAAATTAATGACATTATATAGGCTGACAAGTTGAACGAGATAAATATTAAAGAGGCAAACGAGTAGCTGATATCTAATTCGAATATGTAAAAGAAATCGTCCTTAAACACTCAAACACTCTTCATTTGAGTTACTCTATGAAACAGAGCAGCTGAGCGGTAGGCAATTGAACTCCCGCGTGTCAAGCTTTCCTACTTAAAAAGTAGGTACTATTCAAAATAATTTTATTAGGACAGACAAAATTGAGTTCTAACATCAATGGGTAGGATGGAGCACGCCGACTAACGGTGCGGAACCCGTGGGTAAGCGTGCGCAGAGGCCGGTAACTCGCTGCATATTCGATCTTCCGTAGAGTATTACAAAATGTTAAGGCAGTATTTTCCTTAGAGAAAAATACTTTAAAATAAGGTAGTGTATTTTTTACATAGTCAGTATGGGTATCGGCTACTCGTTCGCCTCTTTAAATATTTATCTCATTCAACCTGTCACCCTGCACATAGGCCAAATAAGGAATGTCTATCAGACAAAATTTAAAATAAAAGAATGGTTACTTAAATAGTTACGTTAAATTACGCAACGGGAAGGCCATCCAACTACTCATTCGGGCCCTCCGGTAAAGACATTTTGTAAAAAGAACCGTTTCGCAGATGGTGGCAAGTGCCCTACTTCTGGTTCGGCATCAAGATGTACGACTTCGTGGCCGGCGACAGGAACGTGAAGAGCTCCTACTACCTGTCGAAGAAGAACACGCTCGAGCTGTTTCCCATGCTGAAGTCGGACAACCTGTGCGGCGGCATCGTGTACTACGACGGTACGGTACCCCCGGCCCGGGCGAGGCCCCGGCGAGGCCCCGGCGGCCCTCGACGGCCCTCGGCAGCCCGGCTAAGGCGCGATGTGTGCAGGGCAGCAGGACGACGCGCGCATGAACCTGGCCATCGCGCTGACGGCGGCGCGCCACGGCGCCACCGTCGCCAACCACGTGGCCGTGCTCAAGCTGTACAAGACGGCCGGCCGGCTCAGCGGCGCGCGGGTCAAGGTGGGTCCCCGTCCCAAACCGAGCGCCCCGCCGCCGCCCGTGACCGTCGTGACCGTCGTGACCGGCGTTGCAGGACGAGCTCACGGGCAAGGAGTGGGACGTGCAGGCCAAGTGCATCATCAACGCGACGGGGCCCTTCACCGACACCCTGCGCAAGATGGACGACCCCTCCTGCCGGGAGATCTGCTGCCCCTCCTCGGGCGTGCACATCGTGCTGCCCGGCTATTACAGGTACCTCGCAGGGCCGCTCCCGTGGCCTGCCGCCGTTAGGACGCGGCCGCGCACGGCTGCTGGCTGTTTTGGCGACGACTTGACGGTCGCTCCGACGCGATTTCCAGCCCCGAGCACATGGGGCTGCTGGACCCCGCCACGTCCGACGGGCGCGTGATCTTCTTCCTGCCGTGGCTAAAGGGCACCATCGCCGGCACCACCGACCTGCCGTGCCAGGTGACGCACCACCCGCGGCCCACCGAGGACGAGATCCAGTTCATCCTGACCGAGGTGAAGAACTACCTGAACCCCGACGTGGAGGTGCGGCGCGGCGACGTGCTGTCGGCGTGGTCGGGCATCCGGCCGCTGGTGTCGGACCCCAACAAGGCCGACACGCAGTCGCTGGCGCGCAACCACGTGGTGCACGTGTCGCCCGCCGGCCTCGTCACCATCGCCGGCGGCAAGTGGACCACGTACCGCGCCATGGCCGCCGAGGCCGTGGACGCCGCCGTGCAGAGCGCCGGCCTGCAGCCGCTGCACCGCGACTGCCAGACGGACGGCTTCCTCATCGAGGGCGCGCACGGCTGGACGCCCACCATGTACATCCGCCTGGTGCAGGACTTCGGCCTCGAGATGGAGGTACGAGGCCCCGTCGCCGGGACCGCGCGGCCGACGGGCCGGCCAATGAGCGTCGTCGGCGTTGCAGGTGGCGCAGCACCTGGCCAAGTCGTACGGGGACCGCGCGTTCGCCGTGGCCAAGATGGCCGCCATGACCGGTAAGCGCTGGCCCATCATCGGCAAGAAGATGCACCCCGAGTTCCCGTACATCGACGCGGAGATCAGGTGAGGCGGCGGCGGGGGCGGGCCGCGGCGGGGCGGGGCGGCGGCTGACGCGGCCTGTGCCCGCAGGTACGGCGTGCGTGAGTACGCCTGCACGGCCGTGGACATGATCGCGCGGCGCCTGCGGCTGGCCTTCCTCAACGTGCAGGCGGCGGCCGAGGCGCTGCCCGCCATCGCCGACATCATGGCCGAGGAGCTGCGCTGGAGCGACGCCGAGAAGAAGGTGCCCGAGCCCCCCCCGCCCGCGGCCCGCCGCCGCCGCGCTCACCCCCGCCCTCGCCCCGCAGAGGCAGATCAAGGCGGCCGGCGACTTCCTGGCCAACGAGATGGGCCAGATGGTCAACCGCGCCAGCCGCGACAAGATCCCCATCAACCTCAGCAAGGACGAGATCCAGACGTACATCAAGCGGTTCCAGATCATCGACGTCGACCGCAAGGGCTTCGTCTCCATCAACGACATCCGGAGGAGTCTCAAGGTGATGTGCCGTAAAACTCAAACGATTACTTCGAACACATATATCTTTATATAAAAAAAACCTGTGATAAATTGGGCGGTTTCAATCCGTTTTATCTGTACGTGATTAATTAATGGTATATTTTATTTATCTATCCAGATTCTATTATTTTTTGATGTATTGTTTTTCTAATGGGGCTGTTATATTCACTCATAATCAAAGCCCTAAATAAATAAGAGTTGTAAACAAAATCTAATTATGCTAGGTGTCTGTGTAAACTTGTAACCAAAAATGTTATAGAGCATGGGTTTGAAGCCGAGCAATGAGGAAATTAGTGCAATTCTCTCCGAGATAGACGTCACGTATAACGGACAGATGGAGATACAAGATTATTTGCAGGTAGACGAGTCTAGAAGGGCCTACTTACTCGGGGCTTGGGCTCGATGGTTGTCTTAAAAGCTACTATGGTATCGATATTCATCGTCATCAAAAACGTGCTTTGTTCTATGTTTGGCCACTTAACGGGTAGTAGAGATATGCACTGAAACTACCATTTTTCGTAGAACTACAATTTGTTTGCATTAGTATTAAACCGGACAGGGTTTTATACTAAAATTAAATAATGTATAATGAATTGATGGTAATAGTGAACTTTTTTAAACCTGGGTATTTCACATTTGACTCTATGCCACTTGCAATAAGAACGGTATAAAGTCAAAACTGTCAAGCTTGACGTGCCTTTGACTGTACACAGCGTCTGTACGTAATATGTGAGTTTTTCTGTACGTACCTCCAACATATAGTTGTATGAGCACACCCAGCCCATGTTGCAATAATACAGCGACGAAATTCGAAAATTAATGTTATAATTATTAATACAGAGGTTTTGCTCTACAAAGAAACTTCCTTACATCCGGCAGGACTCGAACCTGCGTCTGTGCCAGGGCCACCGCTCTGGCGACTGAGCTACAGATCAAGTCGACGTTACGAATTTCTCTAAGTGCTTGTTACAGATCTTTTCTATTGAGATTTTTTTTGGCTTTTGTCGCCGTAAGCGATACCCGTGAGAGATCTATATGATATTCAATGAAAATCAATATCGAAAAGTAATGTTTGGGAAATTGTGAAAAGAGATTTTTTTTAAATATGGCCAGTGCCTATTTCTCTTTGCGATATGAAAACCGAAATGATGTATAATTTGTCGAGTTTCGGCCCATAACTACAAGGGTGCGTACGTCCGTGTGTCCGTACGTCCGGACGGGCCTGAGCATGCGCGTATCCCGCAGGCGGCGGGCGAGGAGGTGACGGGCGAGCAGCTGCACGAGATCCTGCGCGAGATCGACACCAACATGAACGGGCAGGTCGAACTCGACGAGTACTTGCAGGTCTCTGTCGCGGCCTGTCGCACCTCGCTCTTCGATTCACAGTCAGACAGTCATTACATGGCGTGCACGCCGGGGATTATTACAGTTCGACTAGATTTTTACCTGATTTTTACCTAGTGCCTTGAACGCTACTGTGAGTTCATACTTTTCGGAAATTTCGCCCCTAAAGTGCCCCTTGAGCATTTATTTGATTGATTGATACAATCAAATTGAGCACTGCTCATTTTGATTGTACAGGGATTTGTATAATTATAAATATTTGAATTTAGTTTCTTTTTTAACCACATTAGATACTTATTTACGGGTTTGTAATATTTTTTTTATATAAGGAACAAGTAAATAAAAAATCGACCCTCCTTTTTGGGGTATTTAAATCGAAGGGGAATAAATTAATATCAAATTGCTATGAATTCATGCGTTTGTGGCACTGGGCAATTAGTCGTCGAAACTCACATGTGTGCGTTTAAAGCACTGACTGAATGAAGTCAGGTGATACAGTGAATGCGTACTCATTGTTATTGAAATTAATTTTTATTATGCATTTTGCTTTGTATGCTGCCCGCTTATTACCGACTTGCATATTGTTTTGTGTCTGTCACTTGTATAACACATTAATACCTTATTAATACTCACTTTTTCATTTTGCTGCATGTTACTAATCTGTAGTGTAAACTTTTTAGTTTGTTATATAACTGCATGCGATTAGACACGCGAATTTAAATACGAAATTCATATAATTTCTTTCCCCTTCTTTAGAGAACAATTTAACGTTAAAAGTCGATATACCGTTACCGATTCAGAGTTTAACGATAAGATAACCCGTCATGCTTGATTTGTGCACACCACTGCATTAATTAACTTACTAGTCTTGACTTTAGATACAGAATGAAAACGTTCAATGCATTGACTTATAAATAAATGGACGACGGGTCTAATACACAAACCACGAAAAAAATGTCCCTAGTCAACCTATTTAAAAGTAGTGACATGTAAAGGAATATGAAAAAGCTAAAACGTTGAATTTAAATTGTAATGTCATCGCAGTACTGTCTAATTTAGCTTGCTTCGCTGTCAGTCGAACAAACGAAGACTAAAGCGTGAATGACGCTCTGTATACGATTTTAACGCCCTATAAGTTCGGACACTTTTTAGCGCGGACCCGACGTCAATATAATTGTAAGTCAATGGTTCAATGTTATCGATTTGCTTACAATCACACACCGAAACTGTGTCGATGACTTACGCCTGTTCCCTGTCGGGCAGATGATGTCCGCGGTGAAGTCGGGCCACGTGGCTTATTCGCGGTTCGCGCGTATGGCTGAGATGGAAGAGGAACACCACGAACAGGAGAAGCTCAAGAAGAAAATCTCCGTCGAGAGGAGCGGAGGCGGCTTGTAGATCAAATAATACGGTAAACATAAATTATTATACCAGACAACCACTCTCATTTTCTGGTCTCGAACTAGAGAATTCCCTGTATGATGGCTACCTGAGCAACGGTATTCATCACGAACACCTTCAGACCAAAACCTATTTAGTTGAGTTCATCTGCCAAATCGATCCCACCGGGAATCGTACCCGAGACTTCCCCGCTCAACGCCCACAGTGCAAACCGTTGGGCCACCGAGGTCGACGAAAATATTGCAATTACACGTGCTCATCCATTAACTATAGATTAATTAATTGCCTCAGTGGCCGAACGATTACCATGCTGGACTGCCACGCAAAGGCCCCAGGTTCGATTCCCGGACCCGGAGAAATATTTGTGTGGCCTACATTTATTTCTCTCGTGAGTTTGGGTGTAATTTGTGGTTGTCTATCTGTGATTCCATGGCACCCGCGACACAGGGTTTCGGCCACGGAGGCAGTTCTTCAATTATTGCTACCTATGAATTATACATATACTTATACAGAGGTTTTGGACGTCCCCATATCGCATTTAAAAAAACACTGTATATAGCACATTGAAAACAATCGTCACTAAATTAAACTCTCGCCTTTCCAAATTTAAACTCAATTTCACACATTTTAGTGTCCGTTTCCCAAAAAAAGCAACTTTTTCGTTTATCGATAAATTTAATTTTTTTTATTGAGGCAAGTTGTGTTGACGTTGACGTTAATTATATTCTTGTTTATTTCAGAGCCGGAACATCGCAGCAACTTAGACTTAAGAGAAATTTGATTATTGTAATCCTTTTTCATTTATGTAATTACAATGAAAATATTGGATTTACATTAACGTAACTTAAATAAGTAGTGCACATCAAACGTACGTTTTCTTTGTTTCGAATGTACTTTTAACAACATATCTAAATATAGTAAGTAGCCATGAATACTTTTTAAGTGAATCACTAATGCATGTACCCATCTTTGTTAAAATATGCGAGGTCTCTTCGGCCAACGTGTGGACTCTGATTCTGTGGATGCCCTTCAATGAAAGAACGCCCAACGAAGGGAATATACGTCAATAATAATAATGTAACATTGCATGTAAGAACAATAAATGAATCTTGAAATTTCTCCTAAATTTTGATACGAAAACGTAATGTTTAAAAATTGTGATTTATTTTCATGTAAAGACATTTATTTTTACGGTAACTCATAGTGTTGCGAATCTTTTAAGTTAATTGTTACCCGTAGTTGTTATAAGTTCATGTAAGTGTTTTGAAATCATTTACATGTGTTTATGTGTAATTTAATAAACCGATCTTGAATCGATTTTACCGTTTAATTGCTTCACCCTTACTGCATCCCCGCTGAATCTTTAAAGATACCGTTTTGACTGTGCTTGAAGATTATAGATTATAGGTGACTGCGGGGCCGCAACCCCGACCCACTGTTTCTTAGTGACCCGAACTTATTACATATTTTATTAATAACTTATTTATGAATCCCAAATTACCTAACACTTGCCTTATGGACACCTTACGTTTCATGTTATAATCTTTTTGAAGTAAGAAATTACGAAAAGTCACAGTTATGACGATACCAAACAATGGTATTTCTGTATTATATAGGTATTTACGAAAAGGATACCAAATAAAGCAATTTGATAAAATAAATAAAAATAAAATTACTGATGATAGGATCATGTCCTAAAAAATACGAATTCATTATATTTTTTTATTTTTATGGAGAAAAGTTAATGCCTGGACGCTTTCCAAACTATTGCATTGTTTCGTAAGGCATAATACGACCTCGCAATCACTGCGTGCACACTACAGACTTCAATAGTAGGTACTACACAGATATCGTTGACACACTACTGCAATTCTTGCGCCCTAATATGGAGTTCATTACCTCCGAAAGATCATCATATTTAAAATATAAAAAAAACTCGACCTCAAAAGTTCGTGGAATACATTGATTTACAAAAGTCAATGGTGGAATAGTTTAGTTTGTTACTATCTTAGTTTACTACCCTTAGAGGTGGAATATTTTCTTCAAATTTAAATGGGAATAATACGGAAGTTTCTTTCCAAGAAAAAAAGAATCATCAAAATCGGTTCACAAGTCATAATCGTATAAAAAATATGGTCGAATTGAGAACCTCCTCCTGTTTGGAAGTCCGTTAAAAGACATTAATTTTTAAGTTTATTGAATATCACGATGTTTGACCACTATGATATTCAATTATTTTTGAGAAATTACTTTACTGTACTTTGTTATAATTATTAATACAAAGATCGAACACTAGAAAAAAATGCCTTCTATACGGCTGGATTCGAACAAACGTCTTCCAGCAAACCGTGCCAGACGCTATGCCACGGAATGAACCAGCGAACCTTACGAATTTTTTCTGTTAGAAAACCCTTTATGTATTATGAGTGAAAAAGGCGTTGCGAGATTCGCGTTCGCACATATCGTTTTTGTGATCGGCTTAATGCGAACCGTGTCGTGACTCCCGTAGAAGAAGGTGCACAACCCTGGGAAAACGTGTGAATTCCCAACCCACGTCATGGGTCAGTATGGCGGACTATGGCTTAAACCTTCACCTTAGATGATTGATACCCGTGTGCAGCAGTAGGACATATAACACGCCACAGAACGCCAAATACTCCCTACAGTAAACAAGGAAAAATTAGAAGGTACCACTAATTTGGCAAACATGCACCGCGACGCGTAACTTGGCTTCTCTTTCCCACAAATTAGAAAGATGTAGTAGGAGGAACTCATTCCGAAGATACTCTGTGCGTGAAATCCAGAGGATAAAATCACTATAATAGAACTCCGTATTGTACTTCATACAAGTATTCTTAATTATTAATAAAACGTACCCTAAGTACCCTTTCAACAAAGTCGTTATTTGTGGGATTTTAAATTAAACCATAAACAAAATCTGGGAATGAATGATTATGAATTAGGTTGTTTTTGCAAATACATATAATAGATGCCAGTTTAATTTTAATCTACGTTAACCCGTACGTTGCCAATAGATTTATAAATGTTTTCTAACAACTCACTTCTTACACAAATACACGAGCTGTGTATGCGGATATAGAGTAGCCCAAAGTACCTATCTAGTACTAATCTAGGATCTGAAGCACTTTTACTTTAAACTGGATAAATGTAAAGATCGAGTTCTTAGGTTTTCGCGATTGTTACGCATAGGAAATGAAACTATTTTTCCGGATTAAATTTTTTTTTAGTTGGCTATCAACCGTGACCATGGGACCTGTTAACGTCAGTTACTTTGAAAAAATAAATATACGCGATTTAAATCCGAAAAAATAGTTTCATTTCCATTCAATAGCTACACAAAATAAAATAAAGAGATACAGATTTAAATTCTATTATTTTATTTCCTCTCACACAAAGTGAAACAGAGTATTTAATTTTTTGTTTTGCAAAACGAATCGATAAATAATAGAAATTATTTCCTCAAATTGACTTGAAAATGTTAGATTTATTTCGAATATTATAATATATTGTCATGATTTTCAAAATGAAAGCTAAATTGCACCAATATTTTTTAATAAGCAAACATGCTTTTATACTTGCATATCCCGTGACTGCCACCAAAGATGCCTGGATATACATATAAAAATGTGATGTGGTGCTGTTTTAGTTTTTTTAATTACAACTTATTTAATGCAAATTTCTTAGACAAATATACTCAATCTCACTTTATGTCAATGGAAATGGCAATTGCTGGACTCATATCTTGGAACCACTTTCAACTATCAATTCCTAAAAGTATGTAAGGTGTAAAAAATGTTGTTGATATCATTATCATTTACATGAATAACTAACTAAAAACTTAGATGAATGACTCAATAGATTGTATTACACACTCAAAAATTACAAATTACTTGTTACGTTCAGCGCGAATTGGCGGGAAAAAGTTAAGACGTAAGTTTGGCTCAAGCGTGGCGTAGGGCGGTGGTTACGCCCCCGCGGACGCCGTCGCGGGCGGGCGGTGGGTGGGAGCGTACTTCCGTTTGCTAGCTTATGCAATTTTAAGTGTGCGATTGACAGGCACTCGTGACAGTAAGACGAGGTTGACACATAAACTCAAAGGCTTTATTAATATTATTATTATTTAGAAATACAATTTAATCATATAATAAACATATTTGGTTAGAAATATAGGTATCTATGTTATGCATATTAGACACCCGCAGCTAACTGAATCGCGACAATGTGTTTTGCCTCTATTCTGTCAATTGGATACATCTCTAACTTAAATGGAATAATTACAACCTTAAAAATACCATCAACAAAACCACCCCGTTGCACCAATACCAATACCAATAATACCATCAACATTTTTATGGCTTTTCGAAGATATCAAGTATTATGATCTGAAACTAGGTGCAGTTGGAGTTGTTGTAAGCCAAACTTGATTTTCTGATTTAATCGGGCGACGGTTAATTCTATAGAGCGGAGGTAGCCCCGTGGGAGGGATCGCCAATCTAAACGTCGGCAGTTCGAAGTCCAGTGGCGGCATGTGAGTTATTAGGTGTGCGTTACAATATCTCTCGCTGATGGGGAATAGAAACTTCTTAATGACACCTGTATGTGGTTCGACAAGGATTCACAGGTCTTAGGAAAAGTGTGACGACCTCAATAGAGGTCTGTGACCGGCAGCGGGACGAACAATGGGTTGATGATGTTGATTTGCAGGTGCAATCATTTATCCAATTATTTGCTTAGCAAGTAGGCTTTTGTAGTAGGTAGTTGCTTTCGTATTTCGGTTGTGACGAAAAATCGGCAACAAAATGATCGCACGGAAAGTGTTCAGCTAATAAAATATTTTCAGTTCGTATCGAGTTGTTAGGTTTTCGCGATTGTTAAGTAGGTGCATATAGAAAATGAAACAATTTTTTCGGATCTAAATCGCGTATATTTGTTTTTTCTAACAAACCAACGTTTTGGGCCCTTTATAGGTCCTATGGTCACGGTTGATTAATAATTTATGAAAAGAAATTGGTTTGATTATATTCATCATTACCTGTATACCTAATTAAACATTTGGTATAAAATGTAAGTAGAGCGAGATTAATTAGAAATTCAACGTTGTGTGATAAACCTAATACTTTTTTAGTGTTTTTGTTTTTAATAGTGTAATCATCAGCTGAGTTAAGCCTTGTATACTTTGTAAATTAAATAGTATAATTTGGAAAGAAGGTACCTATTCAAGATGTTCTGTGGTCTCCGCCTACCTCTTGCTGTCTGACAAGGACGTGAGCTTATGTATTATGTATGTAAGATATTCAGTTAATGAAATAATATATTAGAGTTCGAAGTGCACTTGCAAAAAATTCAAGTGTATTAAAATAAGGTAAAGACCAAAGCCGACATGACTAATGAGAGGTGAATTACCCCTCCGATTTACCTACCCTGAATTTGTTTGAGCTCCCAGTCTGTTATTGCCGTTTGTATCATAGTGTAGCATTAATGTAAAAGTGTTGTATCAAATCTCTAATTAACTGAAGATGCAACAATATTGTGAACTAGGGCGTGTCTGGGTGCGGGGGCGGATGGCGCGGGCGGTCCGGCACGCCCACGGTTACTTCCGCTTCCGTCAGCTGAGTCATCGAGAACTCGCACTCCGTGTGGTCTAATACCATAAAGGTCATCAAAGAGTCAAAGAACCTAAATTCCATAATGTAAATTGAATAGGGCCAATGACGACAATAATGAATGTGACGACAATAGTGAAAGAATGAAGTTGATGGTTTGCAAATAAAATATAAACTAAATAATATTATAAGTACTAACAAGTTGCTAAGAGTAAGATGAATATTTCACAAAATTACAGAACCTTGTGTTTTCTCATAAAAGGTTTTAGGGTGCCAATAAAGTACAGATAATCTATGACATACATAAAAGATATCTAACATTCCAGTCGGCAAAGAATTTAAAGATTGTACATGTAAGTCAATGTTATACATGCATAGTGTTATAGGTGTTATGACATTAGGTAGACATCTATAATACGTAATGACCTACGACTTGGTTGAGAACGAAATGCGCAATGAAACACAGGAAAAGTCGTGACTAGGTACCTACCTGTTTAATTAATGCATCGACAGGTACCTGCTTAGGTACTTACTAGACACTAGTCAATATACAGCCGATATGTCTTGTAGTTTAGTATAAGCACGTGGGAATGTAAATAGATCGCGTTGGCATTGAGAGTGGAAGTTATTAATACTGATATTAATCGTCCTAGAGATAAAGCACCATATATTTAGTGTGTTTAAAATCAAATGTTTCTAAACTTGTTTAATAATTTGTTTAAGGTTTCGTGATCAATAACCAACAAAACATGTCGCGATATGGGCAATAGTGATCTGTTTGAACACTTAGCTAGAACGTAATATTCTTATTTGTTACTATTATACCATCTTACAAGTTTATGCAGAATTCTAAATCACAACTGTTTCCGCATTAACAAATGAATGAGATATTTGCACAATAACTAATATAAACGATTTCATTTGAATACTCTACCGTGCAAGACTCATGATTTAACTCAGAATGATGTTTGGCATCTAATTAAATACCAGACGCAAACAGCGTCACGTCACTCGACAATCGCATGCCGTGCGACACCACGAAGGTACACCCATAATAGAAGCGTTGTAGTTTTGAAAGAGTACAAGTGCTTGCAGACATTTTATTCAAATTTACTTTTTATTGTAGTGAACTAAGGTTGTATTCGACACTGATTGGTTTTAAGTTTGTTTACGCTTATAAAAGCAAGTAAAAAAATTTGATATCTATACAAGCTACAGCCTTATATAAGAAGTTTTTGAGTTCATATTGGCGTGGTGAAAGGGCTGGATAATTAAAGCGGGGACAAATGCTGTCTCGGGGCGGTTGCTCATTCGTGCATAATGGACTTGGGGCAACGCAATGCGTCTGGCGCTTGACAAAACGCGGTTTGACTTTCACTCTCATTATGAACCAGTCTGGACCGATAAATTATTTTTATAGCAACTAGAACGCTAGCAAATTGTGTCGTTTCCAAATATTGGGTTATAAACCTTACTTGTACAGAATTTTTATTGCATGCAACTTGCAGGATCACGACATTAAATTCACTTAAAAATGCAATGGTCAAATATAAAAAAAATAATTAAAAATAAAACAAATTTAATGCTTCACAACAGCCAGCCATATTATGTTGCGTGGCACTAGAGATTTGTTATCGTTTATTTACAAGCCACTTTTCTTTCGGTGACTCGGCTGGAGCCCAGAGCAACGCGACATGTGTGCATTTTTTGCCCGCCCAAGGAGGCCGCGGGCGCGAGGTTATACACCCATTATTACGTCCTTCCTACTTTCAATTATTATTATCGGGCGGCGGCACCGCACCCGCGACGGGGAGGAGGAGAGGCGCAGCTGCTGCCTACCAATAATCAAGACCTGTCTATACTAGAGCGAGATAGAGATATGAACTATTAAATAAAAAATTTAATTTCCTACGGTAACCCTATGCCCTAGAAAAAAATAAACGATCTTGTGAGTACATCAGTAACGAATAAATTGAAACGCTTCCTTACCTTACGAAGGAATAAAAGAATAATTTTGAGATAAATGATGTAATGCAAACCGTATTCGAACGCGATAGGAGGCGGATCTACGAACCTTGCCGAACTCGCTCGTTGCTTCTCGGCGGCAGTTCGCTCGCCGCACTTTGGCGGCTGGTCGTGAGAATGGTGCGTTCCATATGTGAACAAAGAGAATTTATTGTTTGTAAATGTGAAGAAGATAATGTCGTCTGAGTCTACAAAAGTGCAAGTCGAGTACATTAACGAGGACAAAACTACCAAGGTAAATAGTGTGAAGTGAAAGTGTACAGTGTTTATTGTGCAATAATCGGACGCCAGCGGGCTGCTGTCTCGTGTCGGCGGCGCAGGGGGAGGGCGGGGCGAGTGCGGCCCCGGCCGTGTGGGGCCCGTCAGGCCACACGCAGGAGGTTGTGACCGCGTCGCAAGCAACTCCCTTGCCGAAATAGCATCAGCGTCCTCATATAACTTCATTTCCCACCCATTTCCATAATCGCGTTTGGCTGAAATAACAGTTGTATGACTGTACATATATAAGCTCTATTATAAATGCCATGGCCATAAATACAAGTCGCCATCTTAAAAAAGTTAATTTTGAATATTTTATATCAATGAATGCACTATTCGTATGAATATACAAAATATATCATATAAAGCAAGCATGAACCTTGTAAGTGGTATGCTCTGGATTTCTTTGTTTAAAAATAAGGAAAAATCACATTTAGCCGATTTGAGGTGGGTGGATCAAAGGGCGGCGGCGACCTTGCGTGTGACGACTCCCGGGCACTTGTTAGGAAAAGGCGTGTCGACTCCCAACTACAGCAATGTAAAACTTGGTCGCTGAAATGCCAAAGTTTCAAAGTATCTTGTACGAAGTTACGGGAAACGAGAAACTATTAGCGTATTAATTGATTTCACTTTCTACAAAGAACAAGATATACTAATGAGCGGTATTTTATTGATTTAGTTCATGTCTAACATCTGAGATAAATATTTTTTTCGCTATAAACATTTTAAATCAGGTTGTCAGTCGTGGGGTTAAAAGAATTGAATGTAATGACTGATTTGATTTTGTCTCTGTTTGACTACATCATTCATTCAGTCGTTATTTCGAATTGTAATATTTACGTAATGGTTGTTTGTATTAATTACAAAAGTATCGAAAATTTATATTGTGTAGTGTATAGAAAATGTGTTATAAAAACGTCGTACGAACGTTGAATCATGGTAGTTGAGAATAAATTGGAAGATAAAGATGTAAGTACTAGAGATATTTAGTACCCCGTGTCGAATAAAAAAAAATAGGGATCGTCTTCTGTCGTCCTTCTAAATCTCGGATTCCTGCTCGCTTAAAAGTGCCCCTTCGTGCGCGCCTTTTGGCGTCAATTGTCATAAATCAATACCGCTGTCTGCGGGACGATTTTAGATCATTTTGTTGCTATGTTCAATTTTGTACGAGAAGGGAAATCTTTGGCATTGACACTGGGAGATAGTTCAACCCAATAAATCAATGGAAATATAGACGTTTAAAATTAATATCAAAACGTTAATGAGTATCCGAAACTCTTAAGAAATGAAGATGAAGTTCATACTTAACCATTGTTTATTAAGGTAAATTGCTTTTATCACTGGAACCATTTCAATAACTTTAAACAAACAATTAACTATTATAAATCTTCTTTCATGGCCATAAAGGTTATGTTCCGTTGCACTGTGAGAAGACTATCAAAATGTATGCATATCTGCACACATGACTCATGTTTGTTTATCTGTTATGTATCTACTATCAATTTATAACTGAAATGCAAAATACATACTATTGTTTTAATTCTTTAATAGGAATTGTTAAGTTATTTGCAAGACATCCTCGATCAGTTCATTGACAAGCATGGTTGCAGTACTGAGCAATGAATTAGTACATTTGATGCAGTTTTTATTTTAGGGTTTAGGTTAAAGAATACTTGACAGCATTGATTCATTATTCAATGCTTATACAATGTTTCAGGAAACCAGTGGGTCCCAGTCCCCTTTGGCACTGCTGGCAGCAACGTGTAGCCGACTGGGTGCGGCCAACATGGGCCCTGACCAGGAGAAGGATGGCCAACACTATAGTAAATTCACTACTACCAATTTGACTTTTGACCAAACCTGCACACACTGAAGCGTAAATTGTACCATCCTATTCCATTTATCTGATTAAATTGGACAATGTGTAAAAGAATTGTCATTAATTGGAAGGTCCTAAATTTAGACAACTTTATTGTCATATACACATTTGTCAATTTGACCAACTATGACAGGTCGGTGTGGAAATTATATATTGCCTTTGGGGTTGCCAAATGTTAAAATTCAATCTTTTTAGTCTTGATATCAAAATGGTAATATCTGCAATATTCACTAGGTTTTATGTAGTGAACTTATGGATTTAATTTAGTTTGAGTGCAAATAACAGAAAATAAATCTTTGTTGTTATATACATAATGCACAGTTTTCTGTGATTAAAACATAATAATATTTAGGACTGACCTGGTGTATCAAAACTGGCAGTCGCAAACATACAACTTTTGTGCTTTGAAGACTGCCTTGTTCTGAGCAAAAGTAAAAAGAGAGTCTTGACATCCTTTGCACCTGTTCCAGGTCCACAGCAGCAACAACAGCAAAATCAGCAACAAGTGCAGCAACAGCAGGTTCAACAGCAACAGGCTCAACAGCAACAAGCTCAACAACAGCAGGCTCAACAGCAGCAAGCACAACAACAGGTAGTTATTAAATGTTTATCTGTAAAGTAGCTATTTGTTGCAAGGGCCAGTATTACATCAATGGTTATGTTATTGGTAGAGAGACCTTATGAATTTCATACATTCGATGGTTAGAGTTGTTTCATGGAGATCTAATGTAGCCTATGTCTATCCAGAAGCGACTCAGTCTAAGTCAGTAATGGGTATAAGCTGAACTGTGTTAAGTAATAAACATGGCTTGTTTATCTGTGAGTTGTGAATATAAATCAGGCACAACAGCAAGCACAACAGCAGGCACAGCAAGCGCAGTTGCTGCAGCAACAGGTGCAGGGCGACGCCGCTACACTCGCCGCCATTCAGCAACAGTATCTGCAGCAGCAGCACCAGCCGCAGCTCAGGGTTATCAGTTCCGCTGTCGTGCAGCAGCTCAGGGCTCAAGGACTATCCGTAAGTGGAATTAAAGTAATACTGAAGGGAAACATTATAATTAACAAGCTCAGATGTAACTGCGCTTTGTAGGGTGTGTGGTATTTTAAAGGCTGATAAAATTTGATTCGGATTGTCGTTACGTAGTGGTGTTATAAAAAAAAATTCAAGTGTTCAGGGGTCATCATCTCAGCGTTTGCGACGCTGCGTCCAGTTTCGTCCCGTCCGTAGAACCCGACAATAACGCGCCGCTCCCGACACTTGCAGGGCAACGAGCTGTCAGCGGCGCTGGTGAACGCGGCGAGCGCGCTCCCGAACGGCATCCAGGTGCAGCAGCCGCAGGTGATCTCGATGCAGCAGCTGCAGTCGCTGCTCGGCGGAGGGGTGGTCTCGCAGGAGGGGGCCACGTACCAGAACGCGCCGCAGCAGTTGCTGCAGATCCACCCGCAGCTGCTGCAGGTGCGTCGGGGTGGGGCCGCGAGGGGAGTGCCGGCGGCGGCGGCTAGAAGTAAGCTAGGTGCGCTTGGCGGTTGCAGCAGCAGGGCGGCTCCGTGTACTCGGGCTGCATCGGCGTGGGCGGCGTGGGCGGCGTGGCGCCGCTGCAGGCCGTGACCGTGGACGGCCAGGACGCGCTCTTCATCCCCGCGCAGCACGCGCAGGTAGGCCCCGCCCCCGCCCCGCGCCCCGCCCGCGCCCCGCCCGCGCCTCACGGCCCCCCCGCCTGTTGCAGAACTTCGCGGGCATGGGCCAGGTGAGCCTGGTCAACGGCCAGCTGGTGCGCACGCCCGTGCTGCCGGCCGGCTTCCTGCAGAACGTCATGCACCTGCCCGCGGCCGGTGAGCGCCCCTCCGCTCCCCCTCGCTCCCCTCGCTCCCCTCGCTCCCCTACAAAGATTGCGTTGTTGTACTCTGTTTGATCTATTTCTTTTATTTAACGATCATATTACCATCGAAAATTACGAGCTCGTGCAATTTGAAACTTAATTAAACGGGAACGCAACGAACCGGGACCTTGTAAATTAGTTCTTATATCGCGTTTTCTAAATGTCGTCAAGTTTGGTTACTTCCAATTCCGAAATAGAATCAAACATCACAGAAACGAGAGCGCCTGCAATACTTATTATTTTAGTGGTAATTCCTCGTACTTGCCCCATTACATTGTACTTTACTTTTTTAACAAACATTCTTTCGCATTATCTACATATAATATAAATATCTCTCTATCTATCTATCAGTATCTCATAAACTTCACTCACCTAGCTGCTTATTAATTTAATTTTCATTTACGAAAAATCAATTGCAGTACAAATTCTATGTAGGTCTAAAATACATCAATTTACCTAAGTCGCAATAAACGGATCCACATTGCTATCATTACGCCTTTGCGTCTCACGGCCCTGGACGCGCGTCGGCGACTCCGAGACCGTTTATACCGATATCTGCCCAAAACGAAGCGGTCCATTATCCATCAAAGTAGAGAATACTGTTTCCATCAGTGAATAGCGTTCGTGTCTAATACAGTTTTACTCCGATCTGCTTTGGTTCACCTGCCAATGGCCTTAAAACGTAAAATTCATACACACTGGACGCTCGAGCTAAAGAATCTACAAGCTAAAAATATGAAATAACGCCATCAAAAATATTGAAGAATATTGGAATATTTATCTCCTTGACTTCAAATTACCTTTTCAATTCACTAGGCTTTCTTTCTCACTAGAAATCTGCGCGCAAAGCGTTTTTTCCGCTAGTGTGGAAAAGGTTTTTGATATTCGAACTCGACGAAAAACTGACGCACCTAATTTTTTCTTTCAATGAAAAAAAAAATGACACGTTCAACTACGCGATTTGTCATACATTATTTATATAATATGAATCCCTTGGTACATTTTATTCTTATTATTGTTGCCATTAAATCGGCAACAATAACTGATCTGTTATTGTTCAACTGTTTTTCTTTCATCTACCATTTTCCTTACTATAGTGAGGTTAAAAGTTGTGTATTTTGCTCGGCAGCAAAGTTGTTATGCGTCTCGTGCCTTGAAGCCCTCGCTACGCTCAGGAATCTATTTTTAACAATCTTAGGCCCCTTCGCTTGCTCAGGTTTCGATACAACACTCCCGTCAAACAACAACGTTTGCAGTTGCACAAAAATATAATTCTGATCGTAGCGAGGGTTACAAGATACGAGTAGCAAAACAACTCTGCTGTCAAGCGAAACACACAACTTTTCACAAAAAAATAAACTGTTAAAAAATAACAAATCAGTTTAGTTCTTCGACGAATTAAAATAATTTAATAAACCAAATTAGTTATCGTTGACAATTTCATGCCAACTATAATAAGAATAAAATATACCAACGGATTTATATTACATTAATAATGCAAGACAAAGCGCGTAGTTGAATGTGTCATTATGTTTTTTTTTATCGAAAGAAAAGTTAAGTGCACCACAGTCCATCGTCAAGTTCGAATTTCAAAAACCAGAACACTTGCGCGCAGATTTTTAATGAGAAAGAAAAAGTCTCTCCGAGCTAGTGAGGTGAAAATAACTATTGTAATGATTTCTACGGACCTGGATATACTATTTGTCATCTGACTGGTAGGAGAAAACAGTAACACGTGTACCAATGGTGCTGGCTGGTCTGAAGAATATTTCGATCGCAAATTTTCTTGAATTTGTCGATTGAATCGAAAAGTAGCTAATAGTTGTTAGTCCCAAACGTGACTAGCGGATCGAGTCTGTTCTCGTTCGTGGCACAACTTATCCCACTCTCTCGATGTATTCATCATTTATGCAGCCTCTGTTCACAAAGATAACTTTACCGTTTATCGATAAAACGAACAAATAACGAGTATTCCTTTATATTTGTTTTTACTTAGATGTTTCATTTCTAGACTTCAATAGAGTTGCATGGTTGTTTAATGTTTTTCTGTCTAGTTATTTATTATTCTAGTGACAATGGACTGGAAATGTTATCATCTTAGTATTTCATGCAGTTGACCACACGGTGTTGATGCTTTAAAGAAAGAAATTGAGACTGATCAGTGGCGTCGTACAGTCCCAAGCTCTTAAGTACCCTGAATCGGCATTTTAGACATTGCAATAATTTAGAAAGATTTGACGGGCTCCGTAACCCGTGTGGGCAATCGTCGCAGCTAGTTTCCATCGCATGTCTATTTACTTTCGCTTCGAACTGTTTCATACTAATCTGTGTTTTTCCGCCCCCCTCCCCGCGCTAACAGAGCAACAGGCGGCGGTCACCATCCCCGGCACTAACCTAACCATTCCCCTGAGCGCTTTCACCGGGAACCAACCGATGATAATCCCCGGGGCGAACATATCACTAGGGGGGGTTCAGATACCGGTGAGCCAGGGCATTTCGATCCCTAGCTCCGCGGGCGTCCAGCTGCCCGTGGCGCCGGCCACTGGCGCCGTGCAGCTGGGCGCAGGGGGGGACAAGGCGGGCGACGGCGCCAAGGACTCCAAGCCCGCCAGCCCCTCGGCTCCAGGTAGGTGCGCTGCGGCTTGTGCGGGGAGAACGGGAGAACTCTCCGCGCCAGTGTCTCGTCATCATTCTACGATCACTGGTCATCGAGCACGGTTCGATCCATCGCACAGCTTTTACTTTATTTTTGTAGCCTCTTTAGAAACAGCGGTCTTTCTGGCCGGAAAGTTCTCCCCGTAACGAATCCCTCTCCGTGCTTATTGATTTAGTCTTGCAGTTCGATTTCCTTTGCTTGGTGTTTCACACGTTTCACGATGCACTATCATTGCTCATTACCATCACCACTTCATCGTCATCTATGCACTAAACTTACGCTCCTCGGTGTGGATACTGTGTACATTATAAATGTAGTCAAAACTTGGTTACACGGACGATATTGTCCTGCTCTAGGATGAAACTGGGAAACGTGCCAAAATTGTTTTCACAGTCTAGTCCACTAAAGTTAGTGGAATGTTGAGACCCACGTCACCTGGGAGTGCAGGTGTCCGTGAATAGTAACTTTCATGTATTGAGCGTGGTTACGTGGCAGGCGGCGTGGCCGTGCGTGGCGGCGTGGGCGGCGTGGGCGTGGGCATGGTGCCCGTGCAGGTGCCCGTGTCAGTAGCCAACGGCCACACGGTGTACCAAACCGTGCACGTGCCGCTGCACGCGCCGCAGCACCTGCAGATCATCCCACAGCTGCAGCAGGTGCGTTCAGCGCGTAGTCGGTGTACAATTTCATTTGGTGGAGACTAGACTTTGCCGTGTAAAATAAGCAAATACGCACCGAGTGAATTGTCACCGAAGCACCTTTGTCTTGCTTCGCTTTTTCGTTGGTACCTATACTACTATACTTAGTTCGTTTCAATCCATTATTCAGAAAAAGTAAACCATGTTACGCTCTCGATTATAGACAGCTTAGTGATGGCCAGTTGTACTGCCGACTACAAATCATCAATTAATTACATGAATAGATTTGTTTAATTGAATCCGTTGGAATAACAGTTCTTTTTGCGATTTCGCTGCTGAGTGATGACATGTTCATTAGTACATGATGTACTTATACTACTAGTGATTTTTGTTACATGGAATATAAAAGTAAATTTAATATTTCCGAAGTCTTAATTTTAAATCATCCTTCAAATACTTAATACTTGTTCGATTGTGATGGAAATATTCGATTCACTAAAACTATTGATTGAACTGATTTTTTTTCGTGCAGCACTATGCAACCATAGATAATCCGTACTTCTACATTTTAAAAATAACTTCACTTTTGGATTAACATTTTTAAATACGATTTAAAGCTGTTATTTAAATGAATAGTGTTAGAACAAGCGATGATATCATCTTCAAAATATACGTGAAAGTGTTACTTATTCCATATATTGAGTGATTGCTTTAGAATTTTAACCATTCCTTTGCTGTATAATAGATTGAAACAGACTATAATTAACATGCTGCTCAGGAAAGTGTCCAATATCAAGTCTAGATTCCTCTAAAGCCACATTTTCGACGTGAATATGCACAGTGAGATATCTCAGAATTTTATTGTTATTCTCAGAACGTAGAACAACGAATTTTCGGATGTAATGTTGAAAGGATTTTCCGGATTATCCCCTATTTCTAATTGTCCCTTTTGATTGAATCGTGTCTGATCTACCCGATCCTATATTGAACCATTGCGTCATGTCTTGCAAACAATCAAACGATTATCGACATAAATAAAAGCAATAAGGCTGCCTGTTGTACATTAGCTTATTCTATGATATTTTTGTCGCTGTTTAGTGCAATTACTGTATCTTTAGAAATAAAGACTATTTCGTTCATTCATTCAATACATTTAACGTTTCAGATGCAAGCGCAGCCCCAGGTGGCGAACGTCCTGACACCGTCTGGGCAGATACAGCAGATTCAAATTGCATCGCTTGCCAACATGCAGGTAAGCAAAATGTTAACAACGACTTATTGACGAGTCCATGCCATTTCATGTTCTATGAATCCACGAGATGGCGACGGCTACGTTCGACATAAGCTGTATTAGTTCAAAAGAGAAGCAGAGAGAGCAGGTTGAGGCTTTCCATAATAGACCACAGTCTTAGCAAGTCGTTCACAACGAACGATATTATCAGTTAAACAAAAGAATACGAACCCACAGTCCTTCAGTCAGAGAGATAGGGAGTTCCGGGGAGACTACGGACTCCCCGGTTAGACTAGGGTACGGTGAGCGTCCGGGCCAAGCCCTCCGCCAGTGGTATACGTTCAGGGGCGTCTCCGGTGGACCCGGACTTGGGTATGGTCTCCCCGGGGTTTGTGGTTACCTGTAAGGATGAACCAGTTCGTCTGCCCCGGTAGCATGTGGCCGGGGCGTTTGTCCCGCGCGCAACTAGCACGTCTTAGTAGCGGTCTAGACGAGGCCTTGCGACTAAAAGACGTGTGGGGCACGTGAGCTGCCCTTTAAGTCGAGACCTGTCCTTTAAGTCGGGACCTGTCCAGAATTTGTCGCAGGACACTCCGACCGACATCTCCGGTACTAGCCCGGAGAGTCTGTAGAGGATGAGCGAGACATTCTCCGGTCCCTCCAGCCGCGTAGGTTTCTGGGAACTGGAGAGACGCCTCGGGAAGTGAGCGTGTAGCCCCGCCACCAATTAGAGATTTGATAGTGGACTTGTAGAGTCAACGGCTTAGCGGTGGCAACCGTTAGTCATGCTATGCGCAACGGGAAGTGAGCGTAGGCATAGCTCCGATACCTATCCTATAGGAAAATAGGGAGGGTACTGCGCGTGCACCCGGGGAGGCTCACCCCAGGCACTAGCCTCTTGAGAATGGGATGAAGTCGGTGACAACGGTCTGTGACAACCCTGTACACTGGATGATCTAGGGTCAGAACCTGAATTGGAAGCAGAGCCTGAATTTCTACGCACGCACAAGTTATAGTGCTCTTCGGCAGGGAGGGTCACTATAATCAAAACTAATGTAGGAAGGTACGAGACTGTCTTTCAGTTAGCCATCAAACCATAGTTATTTTAAAGTTGCATTATCAATGTCAAAATGATATAAATCTGTCCACAAATATGTGAACATTCGGTAAAAAGAATGTTTATCGCAATTTTATTCTTCACTTCCATTATTTTCACCTTACTGTCGTAACGTAAGGTTGAATTTTAGACGTTTTTGTAATTCTTTGAACACATCGATAATTTTGACGGTGACTGTCCAAATGAAGCCTGTCATTTGCCGGGCCAGCTTTAGATGTTACGATTTTGGGCAAAGTTAACAAATCCACTACATCAATAGTGGTTTCTATGGTTATCTATTGTAATATATCCTTGGTAACTGTGGTAAAATTTGCTGTGGAATACAGCGTTCAATAAACTTGAGCTTTTGTGTGCAATACAGTTTATTCTAGTTTGACAAATTGACTGAAAATATTTTAAAGAACAATTTGAATTTTCGATGTTAGGCTCAACTCACACTGGCGCAGAGTCGAAGCGTCGCGTTGCGTCCTGTTTTTCAACTCCACCGTCAGGCGACGCGCGACGACACTCGCATTAGTGCGCTGGGATCACAGTTTGGTCGGCGTCTGACGCCGCACGGAGCCCAAGTGACCGCTCGAATGCTACCAAGCGTCGACGCGCGTCGCCGCTCGATTCCATATTTGCAAAACACAAATTTGTACCGTAATAATTGGAAAATATAGATGAATATGCTATAGGCGAAAAACATGACGCGTCGCGACGCTTCGACTCTGCGCCAGTGTGAGTTGAGCCTTAGTCTTGTGTTTTTTGAATCTAGACGGTTGGAATCTTATTTTAGTGGATGGTGAGTGGCCCACAGATAGGTGGCCATTCTAACACAATTCACTTTAATATCTTGCATAATAACACACTCAGTACAACGCTCTTCTTAGGATGGTTGAGGCCAGAGTGCCAAAAAAAACCATAGACAAAACTGAATTACTTTTGTTGCCATTAACAGTCACACGACTGAACTTGTTCTACAGGTCGAGCACATTTGTTCAAAGTGTCAAAATGTGGAGGCAGATAAATATGGCCTTGTTTGAAGCGACATAATACGTGAATGAAAGCATATACTCTTGTATTTTCAGGAAATCATAGATTAATTTTTCATTTTCTTTTCCAATTTTACTTTTTAGTCTGCTAAACGCGTTATACGAGTTAAACTCGTATAAAATATGTTAGCGATTGCAATTCCTACGTTATTGATACGCGGTTTGGAGTCCATCCGTCATATCGAGTAACTTGGAAATTACAATACAGTATTGTGTAATACAATACATTACAATAATACAATACAGTAATGTGACAAAAATAGGGATTAAAAAATAGTCTTAGCTGAATAGCTATTTGCGGACGTGAATATTGTTATTTACTGGAGACTACAAAAATGAATCCACGCGGCCACGATTTTAATATTTTATCGACATAATTTGTAATGGAGAAAGAAGATCGATTAAGAATAAAAAAAAGAGAAAAAGTTTAAGAATAAATAATAAACAAAATAAAAGGGATTGAATAATTAAGTTTAATAAAATTTTTAACAGTTACTAAAAAAGCACAACAAATAAAAAATCAACAACAACCAAACAAAAATTCAACAACGGGTCATAAAATATAGCAAGAGGTACCTGTCTAACATCGGCAGCATCGAAATGAAATTTTAACAAATAGACAAAAGAAAACGACCCGCATACAAGGTGCATGCACACGTATTGACACGAGATACACAATAGTCGATTCGATGAATTGGTTGTATAGTGTAAATCTTCATGGACAAATATTCTACACATTTAGTAGTTGGGGTAATTTAGTTATATCTTTATCATTTCATTTTCTTGGTTCTAGTTTTTGGTATATTATAACAAATTAACTATTTATTTTTGTAATGTGCTTGAGATATTACTAAAATATAAATATGGTATGAATGCAACGTAAAAATTTGAAATGTCACAGTACCCATCCATTGTGAAACGGACCATAGTATATCGATTTTCGTATCAAATAGAATTGTGTGAAGTTTGTGCTGCAGAAGTTTTTTTTAAATCTAGTTTGTCGGTTCCGCCAAGTATTACTTTTCGAATTAGGTAACTTCACGATTGAGCGTGTGTTGCGATCACGGAACACCTTCAAAATGCAAATGAATAAGAGACAGAATCAAAGAGAGATCAAAGGGAGATCGCAGTGGGACTCTCGCGGCGCGTTAAGGGCTGTAAATACATGCTGGGTTTTTGGTTTGGCGCAGCAAAGCGGGCAGGCGCAGACGGCCGTCAGCGGGGCGCCCACGCCCGCCACCATCACTCTGCAGGTCAGTTCCCCTGATAGGACACGTCGGTGTGACAGGGTCTGGCGAGAGGTAATAAACTGACAGATTGCAACTGCGGCCGTGCCGCCGAACTTTTTGTCTGCAATCAATAATAAGCTTTACAAAACTGAAAAAGAGGTGATAGTCCACCTGAGTTGCACACTTATACGTTGCTATTGCACCTGCTCTTATGTCACGCGTCAACGTTGAAGCTCTTTAATTAACTCTCGGTAAACTTTGGAAGTTTTTTTTGTTTATTTTAGCATTTGGGTTTAGTGCTTTAATGCATGCTTTATGATTTTAGCATGCTTCATACGTTTATGTTTTGTCTTTTGTGTTTTGTTTGCACTTTTTTTATTTGAATTATATACTATGTATGTGTTTTTTATGTATTTGGCAATCTGGACCGACGATGTGCCAATAACTTTATACTTTCTATAACCGACTTCAGAGGCCGTACCTATATTGTTGTTCCTATTTATACTTTATGTACATAACAATGATATGTCAAATCCGTTCATGGCCACAAGTAAATAATTAGCACACATAATAATTATTGCCTATATGAAAGCAAAATGTTATATCAGTATTTATTATACCGCTGCTTGGAATAAGGCGGTATCGAACCCAATACAAGACTCGTCGGGCTTGCAGCAGCAGCAGCAAACCATCATCACCAGCACCCCGACGGGGCAGCAGGTCACCGTCATTCCCGCGCCTGCCAATGTGAGAGCCGCTAATGTTGTTCAGGTATTCGATGTTGGATGTTGTCAGTAGTGCTTCTCGTAACACCTAACCGATCTAACATGGCGGCGACAGAACGGGAGAGCCGGACCACAGGGCCACAGGACGTCGCAGCCGCCAACTCGTCGTACAGTCAGCCAGTGTTCAGATTTGTATACAACATAGAGAAGACGAAACAACTACCGCCGGCGTTATTTATCGTCATTTTTGTACACGAATTCTTCATATTTGTAGGAGCTATCTTCTTGCTACGGAGATCGGGAGCAAGGTCAGTTTTTCAAATAGTATCGCAAACTGCAGGGGCGGTGTTGCGGTATTATTTAAATGATACCGTTCTTAGTAGAGGAAGTAGCGGGAACGCTTGCGATGCATATAGTCGAGCTTCTTGTGTCTATCTATCGCGCGCAGAGAAACGTATGTAGTTCGCTTCGGGGGACGGCCGACGTTTCCCCGTAGTCGCGGCTGTACTGACACGCGTCACGCCCGCAGGTGCCGGCGACGGCGCTGGGCGTGGGCGGGCTGGGCGGCGCCGTGCAGCTGGTGCCGGCGCTGGGCCTGGGCGGCACCGTGCAGCTGGCGCAGATGCAGCAGCAGCAGCAGCCGCAGCAGGCGCAGCCGCAGCCCGTCATCGGTGAGCGGCGGCGGCGGCGCGGCGGGCGGGGCCTTCGAGTGGCTGACGCTCTCCCGTTGCAGGCCAGCAGGTGCAGCAGGACCCCAACGAGCCGGGCAAGTGGCAGGTGGTGCTGAGCGCCGGCAGCGGCAGCGGCGGCTCGGCCTCCGGCGGCGAGTGCGAGAAGCGCCACGGCGACGAGCCCGAGCCCGCCAAGCGCCTGCTGAAGCGAGTCGCTTGTACTTGCCCTAACTGCGACCAGGGAGAGAAGTGAGGCCCCTTTAGTACCGCCGGTCACGCGCCCGACCCCGGCCCGGGGCCGGCGCGTGACCGCGCGCGCGTGCCCGCAGCCGCGTGGTGGACCGCAAGAAGCAGCACGTGTGCCACATCGCCGGCTGCAACAAGGTGTACGGCAAGACGTCGCACCTGCGCGCGCACCTGCGCTGGCACTCCGGCGAGCGGCCCTTCCTCTGCAACTGGCTGTTCTGCGGGAAACGGTAAGCGGGGCGGCGGCGGGGCGGCGGGGCGGGGCGGGGCGGCGGGGCGCCCTGGCCACCCACCCAGCGCTCTGGTGCTCCGCAGCTTCACGCGCTCCGACGAGCTGCAGCGGCACCGGCGCACGCACACGGGCGAGAAGCGCTTCGAGTGCCCCGAGTGCAGCAAGCGCTTCATGCGCTCCGACCACTTGGCCAAGCACGTGCGCATCCACACCAAGAACCGGATCACGGTGAGTCGCGGCGGCCCCCCGCGGCCCCCCGCGGTCCCCCGACGGCCCGCTCCTCCGCTCCGTCCGTTGCAGGAGGTGGCCACGTCCACGCAGTCCATGTACTCCGACTCCGGCGACGACAGCTGCGACGAGAAGATGATGCTCACCATAGAGACCGTCCAGGCGGAGGGCGACTCCGAGGAGAAGCAGCTGGTGGTCGTGCGGCCCGGCGCCAAGATGGAGCCCGACCGTAGCTAGGACGAGGACAGCGGCTAGGACCGGCTGTACCGGCCCCCGGCGGGGCGCGGCTGCCGCCACGGCGACAGCGACAGCGACAGCGACTAGCCGCCTCGGATGGCAACATTCGTCCGCCACCTGCGTACGTTTTGTCCGATTGCTTTGCTTCATATTTAGGATTCGCGTAATAAAATTGGCCAAAACCTTAAACCGGTTAAGAGAACAGAGCCGGAAGTGTGGCGCGGCGCGGTTACATTTTGTATGGACTTCGATGAACCAGTGATGAACCAGTTTTAAGATTTACAGCACGGAAGTTAGCGACTATTCATCACCACTCGTCGTCAGGCTCGCTTTTTATTAGGTGGCACATTCCACAGCACCTGCGTCTACGTGAATTGTGTGCCATACGCGTATCTCGTTGTACTCGAAGAGATTGGTTCAATAAGTGCCATGTGTTTTTGCCACAATTTCAAATTTCGAGGAGACTCATGCCCAGCGGTAGGAGTAGAGTGGGCACAGTACACGATTTTGTGGTAATCAAGGTTTAACAATTTTCTAATTGTGTAGCGGCGCTTGATACTTTTTTAAACTATAATATACTTATTTTACTTCCGCCTTTAATTTGCTACTTTATTATTGTGGTGTCCAAAACAAGGAATACTTATATACTCGAAATAATGTATTTACTAATGTAAATGTATATAAGGTAAAACGTGTAAATGATGTAAATAAATAGGTCGAAATTGAAGTGTATATTTTCTGAAAAACTATAAGTGTCTACATGTAAATCGACGTACTTTGATCTGTGATCGAAATTACGTGGAGCTTGCATTAACAATTAAAATGAAATTTTAGTTCCATTCCTTACTGAAAATATTTTGTGAAATAAAGTAGAACCAATAGATTGATAATGGTACCGTTTAGTAGCACGTTTATGGGTCAATCAACTTTTTTATTCTGCTAACGTGATAATATTAAAAAAAAACTCCAATTCGAATGTAGTCAAATGCTGACACCTACAATTTATTATTACTTTTTATTATTAAAATTGATTAATACTATATTCCTAAATCGTGAATATTTTTTTCAAGATGGATCCGTACCAAAGATTATTTAATTATGCACAAAAGCTAATAATAATAAAAAATATCGAAACTTTTTTACGATAGGTCGTAAAACAGTTACGCTAACGAGTAAACACTGGGACAGGCAAAAGTTTTAAACTTTTCAATTTTCATGAATACTTTAAAAAATTATTCATAAACGCAGCGATATAAAACTAGGATGTGACGATTGTAACGATATCAATTCAGATTAGGATTTTTTAATATTTTTGACATAAAATAATTATTTCTTTAAAAAAGTTGATTATTCCTTATAACAATGTATGGGGTGGTAGTTTGTAATTATTTCTAGTTGCTAAAGCAAGCTTCATTTTATCTAACTTGGACAAAATCTTAATTAGTTATATATAAGCATGTTTGTTATTATAGTTTTATAGAGGAAACTTGAATTGATTTATTTATACTTTAGTTGTATACAATACAGTGGCGAAGGGTGGGTATGTAAAGAAGGTAAGCCGTTGCCAAAGCTACGTAGCAAATGCTGCAATGTAAGACTTTTCTTTTACGCGAGCCGATGATTATCGTTCGGTTACTTATCACAAGCTAGAAACATGATTTACAGAATTTAGTTTCTCCGAAAAAATTTCGACTTTTATTGAACAGATTTGCTTTCATTTGTCTGAATACACGTTACGATTTCGCAAATAAACGATAAATGAAGCTTATTAATTGAAAATGTACTTAAACCTGTTATTTGAAAAGTTTGATAATTATTTAAAATATAGTTAGAAATGCAAACAAATGGACTTCTGCCTGACGGCTCCTACCTAATCTAACGTACTAAAGGGGGCGCACCCTGTTTTGACCCCGCCTTGGGTTTCTACTTTTGAATTCATGTCTTTATAATTTTATCTAAGAATAATAATTTTGTTGAACAAATATTCAACAATCCATACAGTTTGTATGAAAAACAGACGATAGGATAAACATGAATTAACCAAACTTCTGCCAAAAGGATAGGTACTCGTAATACATGTAATAATTATTCTAACAAAAAGTTTTTGGACAAATGATACTTCTGTTGTAAGATATTTCTGTGTTACAAATTTATACCAAAAGAATCATCGCATTAATGAAAAAAGTCGAACCGTGCTGGAAATGATGAGATTCGGAAAAAAAATTGTGTTTGTGATAAGTTACTGCATCGTTTATATGGCCCCTTCACCACTGACTCCTAAATAGTGAAAATATTCGCGAACACGGCTTCGGCCATACCTGTACCGTTTTTCTTCCATTTCCTGATAACAAGGTCCCATTTTCCTTCCGCAGAATATGAAGGTAATTCGAACCGAACCGATGACTATTGTCAATAGTTTTATAAATAAAAATTCATATTTAGTCATTATGTGGATTTTACTAAATGTACGGTGCAGGAGCACTTTTAAAATTTCCAGTTATAATTTTTTTTTGGTAAATCTGCTCAAGATATCAAATTGAAACTTGCAATGGGTCCAAATCACTATTTGGCTTTTTTACTCAACATAATATTATAAATAAAGCGTAGATGTTTGTAAGTGTACAGTGTTAAATATGTGTCTGTACATAAAACTTATTTGTTGAATCGATTAATAAAATATTTTTTTATTGATATTGTTTATAATTTCATAAATCACAGAGGAGCTTGCAATGTATTGTCCAGTAAGTTGACTAGCTAAAAAAAATGGTAAAAAAAAAGTAAATTAGTTTGTAAAGGTGCTTATCCACCGATGAGACGAGACGAGTTGTATGGCAAAATTTCAATTATCTCCTAGCGCATCTTCGGTGGAAACGGCCTGGATTGACGAGGATGGGCGAGGTGAGCATTTAAATATTTGTTGACGTAATATTGAACCGCATTGCTGCCTACATAGAGTATTATACTTTACAACGGAAACACGGTTTCGCCACCTCGCGCGAGCTTTAATGACAATGCTTGGTGGTAATAGGCCAGAGAGATTTCAATTCTCGTCTCACGTCTCTGGTGGAAAACCACCTTTACCCGCGAACCCAGCCAGCGTGGAGCCTTGTGCAAAGTAGTTCGCTACAACCCCTGAGGATGCCTCTTGGCGTAACACGTGTCGGGTTACGTGTTTGGTGGTATCTGTGATTGTAGTTGAGCTTGTGTTATTTGTTTATGCGGAGGGAGCGTGGGAAAATTAATTGCATGAAAAAATATTGAACTCGAGCGTAATTATTTTGCACGATTTAACCTCCAGTGGGTTTGCAGGTTAGCACATTGATTTACTCCCATTTTTATTGACATGGGATTTCCATAACGCCCGAGTCTATTGATTACTTGACTTGTTACAAGTTAGCGCTTCAATGGTCTTGTATAATAATGGTCCTCGTGAAGTTTTGACAAATGAAATATAAGTGTATTATTTATTAATATATGCGTATTAAGCCCTTCGGTACAATCGGTCTACTTTCCCGATCGATTCAGTTTCACTATTCGTGTACTTTCCCGATCGGTCCACTTGTTCAAATGGTCTACTTTCCCGATTCGCCTATTTCCCATTTCGTCTACTTTCCCGATCGGTCCACCTGCTTTACCCGATCCGTCCATTTCCCATTTCGTCTACTTTCACGGTCGGTCCACTTGTCCAAATAGTCTACCTTGCAAGTTAATAAAATTTTATGTAAGTTAATAAAATTTTACAAAAAGAAATCGTACATATACAATAACACAAATTTTCAAAGGCAGTTTGTAATTGCATAATTGCAGATTGTCATGGAGTGTAGTTTTTATATTTTTGATAGTGATGGCCGCTTTACGTTAACCATGATTAGAAAAAAACAAAATCAAGTAGACAGTTTGTTTTTAACCGACTTCAAAAAAAGGGGGAAGTTCACAATTCTACTGTATTTTTTTATGTATGCTACGAGTTAACGGCATTCGGGAACAGATTTTGATGATTCTTTTTAAATTTGTAGAAATTATTCCATCTCTAAGGGTGCCAAACTAGAGCGTGGATTCAGGATTTCATTAAAACTTGGCAAGTAAATGTAATTCCAAGAACTTTTGAGGTCGGTTTTTTTTAGTGCTGTACTGAGATTATCTGAGTAGACGCATCATTAAAGTAGATATATCGGAAAAGTAGACCGATTGGGAAAGTAGACCGATCGGGAAAGTAGACCGATCGGGAAAGTAGACCAAATGGGAAAGTAGACGAAATGGGAAATAGACGAATTGGGAAAAACAAGTGAACCGGAAAGTAGACCAATTGTACCGAAGGGGTATTAAGACTGTAGGAATAATGAATGTAGTCTAGTTAAGTTTCATGTACATCCTAAACAGTCCCTCTTTAGTTGCCAAGGGCCAAGAGGTGGTTTTATGATTTTTCGTGAGTGCCCTAAATAGACAGGGTTGCCCCTATCGCCAGTACTGGCACTACGTATCGATATATATAGGATAAATCAATTTAGAACATAAAAGCATGTATTGGGAATTATTATACATAAGCACCTTTATAATGTAAAGACTTTTTGCATACCTTGTCTAGGCACTATATGTGTCTATTATAGTTTACCCACCGTTATCTTTTTACCATTCTTGTAATTTAGAAAATAGCTCACGGCCCGTTGCACGCATGCCTTATAAAGAATAACTATCTGGAGAAAATAAATTATTATGTACCCATAAATCTAAATTGTGTGCGTACATACTCGTGTATCTCGAGATCAGCAATAAGGTTTTCTTCTGTGCGTTGTAATGAAAACAGGCGTAAATTAGTATAAAACGTTGTGTTACATGCTGCTTTTTTATTTGTTGTGTACAGCAAAGGGCTCATATGAAAATAAACATTTAGCAAAAGTGTTCACAAGAAATTCCTATTAGGTGAGGCGATTTATTTACTTGGGATTTTATTATTGTTCTGTGGATCGTACCCCCAACATTGACTAAGATGCCACAAATATAAAATTAGCCTATAAGGCTGCGCGCGCGGCGGCGGTCGTCGGCCGCCATTTGCTGTCGCTACTTCTGTAATGGGCGGCCATTACCGTGTCCGTGAAATCGTGATGCCGCCAACCGCTGATCACTAAATGCAATGCTCCATTTTATGCTCTCGGTGACGCCTCGGTGGCTTTCAAGTTAGAATGGAAAAGTGGAGTTCTTGAGCAACGACAATGTCGTGCAATACATTTAGGCAATTGGAAAGATGACGGTAAGCTGCAATCGAATCGGCAGTATTTGTAGTTTAGGTTGGATTATAAATTTTTAAGTGATAGGGATTTGAGTCCCGGTAGACTAAATAAAAATACCTTGCATCTTCCTCTGGTGAGTATCATCGCAAGAGAAGAAGGAAAATGTCTGGTGCTAATACGCCGCATTGCCTCTTTCTGCGCATATTAAGTAAGTTGATGCTGTACTGCAAGCGGAAAACTCCAGCCCCTCTTAAACCTCGTGCCACTAGCATATTCTACGGCCGATATTGACCAAATGATGTACTATATA